TACTAGCTAATGTATGTGTATTTTGTGAATGGCTTAGCAAATCATTACTGCTTATAAAACAGCTTTACATAAAGCAGCATTCAACTGAGATACTAAACACAATTCTGGTGAGCACGATCTTACGGCTATGGCTAAGCCATATACCGGTAGGTGGTTTGTGGCACAACAGTACAACTAGGGTCTTCAGAAATCATTGAAGGCTTCTGCCCTTTATAGAGAATTTTCCAAAACATTCCAGTTTCACGTGGTTGATTTTTAATAACGGTCATCAGAATGCATTAAACAATAATATACAGTCAGGTCCATAAATATTGGGACATCAACACAATTCTAACATTTTTGGCTCTTTACACCACCACAATGGATTTGAAATGCAACGAACAAGATGTGCTTTAACTGCAGACTGTCAGCTTTAATTTGAGGGTATTTACATCCAAATCAGGTGAACGGTGTAGGAATTACAACAGTTTGCATATGTGCCTCCCACTTCTTAGGGGACCAAAAGTAATGGGACAGAATAATAATCATAAATCAAACTTTCAATTTTTAATACTTGGTTGCAAATCCTTTGCAGTGAATTACAGCCTGAAGTCTGGAACGCATAGACATCACCAGACGCTGGGTTTCATCCCTGGTGATGCTCTGCCAGGCCTCTACTGCAACTGTCTTCAGTTCCTGCTTGTTCTTGGGGCATTTCGCCTTCAGTTTTGTCTTCAGCAAGTGAAATGCATGCTCAATTGGATTCAGGTCAGGTGATTGACTTGGCCATTGCATAACATTCCACTTCTTTCCCTTAAAAAACTCTTTGGTTGCTTTTGCAGTCTGCTTTGGGTCATTGTCCATCTGCACTGTGAAGCGGCGTCCAATGAGTTGTGAAGCATTTGGCTGAATATGAGCAGATAATATTGCCCGAAACACTTCAGAATTCATCCTGCTGCTTTTGTCAGCAGTCCCATCATCAATATGGTAATGAGGGATTCAGTGAGCGCTAACTGACACAGCAGCTGATACACTAAAAAGGAAAACCATCAACCTTCAAACAAACAATATAAGATAAATAGTGCAGCGCTTGATGTTATATGACTGTACCAATATTGAAGATGGTGCAATATCCCTTACTTAAATGTCAACAGATGTGGACCACATGCATTATATGTGACCAAACACACTATATGTGATCCTCCCAAAAGTTGGAAACAGGGGGAAAGAAATGACGTGAGCTTCACACAATTTCACTTCACAATGAAAACACACAATATAAATGCACAGTACAGTCCAGTCATCAAAGAAACACAGATGAGTGTATCTCGATGAGATCTTTATGATGCATGTAGTCCGGCGATATGCAGAAGAAATGAATAAATTGCGCACTCACCGGAAGCACAATTTAAATTGTGCGTTTGTGTCTCATACACCAAAGATCACTCCGACTGTGGATGAAGGGAAGCTCCGAACAGGTGGTTCTATGATGAAAGGTAACCCATCTGGGGATTCCTTCTGGCAGACAGGTTCCAAAACAGGATCAGCTGAATATATCTCTGGGCCTTGGGGTAATCACCTGGTGGTCCTGAGGAATTAAATGCTCGATGTGGAGCAAAAAGGAATACCCATAGTGTAGTATTTATGTTAAATTATAAAAAAATTTATTGTATGTTAAAAAAAAAAAACACACTTAACATAAATATGAGAATAAAATCAATCCTTGTGCACTAAGGATATCATGAATGACACACTGACCAGCTGGTATAGAAGAGTGGCCGCCGGACCCCTTGATCCGGCGGCTTAGCGTCACGGCTAGCAAAGGCTCCTCCTTGACGCGCGTTTCGTATCACACGTACATCATCAGAAGGAATAAGAGCCATCATCAATAAATACAAGAGAACCAGTTCCATTGGCAGCCATACATGCCCACTCCATGACACTACCACCACCATGCTTCACTGATGAGGTGGTATGCTTAGGATCATGAGCAGTTCCTTTCCTTCTCTATACTCTTCTCTTCCCATCACTCTGGTACAAGTTGATCTTGGTCTCATCTGTCCATAGGATGTTGTTCCAGAACTGTGAAGGCTTTTTTAGATGTTGTTTGGCAAACTCTAATCTGGCCTTCCTGTTTTTGAGGCTCACCAGTTGTTTCCATCTTGTGGTGAACCCTCTGTATTCACTCTGGTGAAGTCTTTTCTTGATTGTTGACTTTGACACACATACACCTACCTCCTGGAGAGTGTTCTTGATCTGGCCAACTGTTGTGAAGGGTGTTTTCTTCACCAGGGAAAGAATTCTTCGGTCATCCACCACACTTGTTTTCCGTCGTCTTCCGGGGCTTTTGGTGTTGCTGAGCTCACCGGTGCATTCCTTCTTTTTAAGAATGTTCCAAACAGTTGTTTTGGCCACGCCTAATGTTTTTGCTATCTCTCTGATGGGTTTGTTTTGTTTTTTCAGCCTAATGATGGCTTGCTTCACTGATAGTGACAGCTCTTTGGATCTCATCTTGAGAGTTGACAGCAACAGATTCCAAATGCAAATAGCACACTTGAAATGAACTCTGGACCTTTTATCTGCTCATTGTAATTGGGATAATGAGGTAATAACACACACCTGGCCATGGAACAGCTGAGAAGACAATTGTCCCATTACTTTTGGTCCCTTAAGACGTGGGAGGCACATATGCAAACTGTTGTAATTCCTACACCGTTCACCTGATTTGGATGTAAATACCCTCAAATTAAAGCTGACAGTCTGCAGTTAAAGCACATCTTGTTTGTTTCATTTCAAATTCATTGTGGTGGTGTATAGAGCCAAAAATTTTAGAATTGTGTCGATGTCCCAATATTTATGGACCTGACTGTAGGCTGATTTTAGCAAGATGCAGTCAAAGTTTAAGACTGTCTAGTCATTAATTGAGGTAAACACTGAATGATGGATCTTTACAGAGATTGTTCCATAGACATTCATATTTATGTTGTTTGAGTATAAATACTTTTAAGAAAATTTTCAGAGAAGTATGAAGGATGCCATAGCTGAGCTCACCTTCTGAAAATGCTAGGTGCCAGACTGTCATGCTGATCTAGTGGGTCCAATATTTCCTGAGTCATGTACCAGAAACAAATGCAAAATAGGAGTTCAGACTTCATTGGCTTCATGTACGTTCCAAGTCAGTAATTTGGAGAATGTTAAAGTTAGAGGATCAGCTTGACTGCTAGGCAACCAGCATTCTCAGAGCTAGGTCAGAAACAGCTGCTTCCACTTCCACTTCTTTTAGTACCGGTTTCCTTTAATCAACCCAACTGGGAAAAAAATAAGAAAGATTCCTTGTCGTCTGAAACATCAATATTTAGAGCTGGAATTTTTTAGTGGTTTGTTAGAAAACATTGCCTATTTATCCATTTTTTGCAAAGAGAACATTGCATATGCATTCCTATACCCAGAAGCAGCAGTTCAACACTGGCACTGATACAAGTGTCTTAACTAACTGTCACCTTTAACAATAGTTTTTAGTAATAATGCGGTGCTTCCAGTCACTGTGTATAATAGTACGAGGGAATGTAGCGTCTGCTTTAGGGGACTACAAGCTGGATGGTGGATAACACCTGAAGAAAGACCATGTTGTCCTTTTGTTTAACAAAATATTTTACCTAAAGTCCAACATCAACCAACCTTTTCAGAATATCTCTCAAGCAGGGGCGGACTGACCATTTGGAAACTCGGGCACTGCCCGAGGGCCCGGGGTCAGTAGGCGGCCCCATGAGATGCCCCTGGTACCTTTTTGATAGGCTTTTTTGAGTTTGGGCAAGGACACAGGGGCCCCATGATCTCCTATTGCCCGGGGGCCCTATGACTTGTCAGTCCGCCCCTGCTCTCAAGTTTTTATTGCTGCCAGTAACAATACTGGGAATATTTTCCCCACTTCCTGACCATATGACATCAGTACAAGAATTAGGGTGTGCGGTAATTTCCAGGACAGAAAGGCATAAACAGCACTAAACATTGTAAAATGGTTCAACCTTTCCTCAATTTACTAAAAATCAGAGTTTGTTTTTGTTGGTGCCCCCATTGGAGAGAGATTCCCTATACTTCCTATCAGGGAAAACATCCCATTGAGGACACAGTCAACATTAAATACTTCAAATGTCTATCTGTTTGGGAGATCTCTTCTCATTTCCTGTCCTAATGACACCAAGACAAGAAATAAAGGGGAACGGGTGTCACCAGGACAGACTTTCTAACCCTTCCCCACTCTACTATATAAATGTAATTTTGTTGCTAACTCTTGTCATCTTCAGACATATTCCACCACTTTTTGCCTTTGTAACCAATGGGGCACAGCCAGAAGTGCAAAAAAAAAGTTCTGGCAGGAGTTGAGCTTTAATAAAAAAAAATGAAAGTGGTTGTAAACCTCAGACATGCAAACTCCTTGTCTCAATTAGGAACACTACATGTCATATCTGTCTGCTGCTTTGTTCCTCTGATAGCATGAATGAGTTCTGACAAGTTTTCCTCACACCAAGAAAAAAAAGATGACAGGTCAGGGAGCTTCAGCACACAACCTCTGATAGACCACCTCAGCTCTGTGTACTGTGTACTGTGTGTAGGGGAGGTATCCCTTCCCTCCAAGCAGCTCTCAAAGCTCCACTCACTGAGCTCTGCAAAGTGTAATTTTAGCTCTCTGTGGCCTGTTTTCTGAAAGCATAGATAAGCTTGATAAATTCTGGACTTTGACTGGCTGTAGAGAAGAAAGGACTGCAGATAAAGGAAGTGTTTTCATCTCTATGTATCACCTGAGGCCAGTCACTTCATTGGATATATGTAAGGGTATACAACCACTTTAAGCATCATATGATTTTCTAAACACAATCACTATGATTTCTAGGTAGATGTACCCAACAGATGTCCCAAGACTGAGCAACCATAATCTTCTGTGCTGAGACATTCAGTAATTTAGTAACAGCTGGAACAGCAAAAGATTCTATAGGAAGAAAATTAAGGAATTGGTCACTTACATGTCTTGTGGCGTCTGACTCCTCTCTATGCTTTCTCTTCTTTGTTGTGCTTGAGGTTGCTGGGAAATGATTAAACATTGTTTATTGTCATAGGAAGACACTTTGTGTCGATAGTCAAAGGGGTGAGAGATAGTACTGCAGTAACGGACTGATTTCTCTGCAATGCTTATTATCTCATTGCAGACCGCTTCCTGCCGACAGTCAACAAGAAAAAGACAGGAATAGATGAAGACATTCCAGAGTGCATCAAAAAAGTCCAGTACACAAGAGAAGTGGAGATCCCATTAAATCCATGGAGTGGAGTGGAGGAGAATTCCAGGGGTAAGCATGGAAAAGACAGGCAAGACACAGAAGAAGGTAAAATTTAGTACAGATATACACAAGGAGCAGCAGCCTGATGTGGTTAGCATGTTGCTGTTAGACAATGCTCTTGTTCTAGCAAAGAAATGTTGGTGAGCTTGGCTCTGTCATGCATTGGGTTAGGATTCAAAATGCAGGCATAGCAAGAGAGAGTACATTGTTTTCACCAAGAAACAAAAAGACACACATGTTAACACAGACAGAAGTCAAACCAGGGCACCAGTGATCTGTCTAAATCCAGCGAATCAACAATCTCTTACCACATAGCTCTTTTCAGACTCTGTGAGCTCTGGTCCTGTGCTCAGTGTATGCTGGGGCTGCTGTGATCATCAAGCACATTATAAGGGACACATTTAGCAAGGGTTATTGGGTTACAGGGATACACATAAAGGCAGACAATAATTTGAATCTCAGACATTATCTATAAGTAAATTCCATTCCAGCAGCTATTGAGAGGAGAACATGATTGTCCAAGCCAATATGGACTCTTGTTTTACCACATCCAATGATGGCCCAGTATCACTAATTCGTCTTAGCTCCTTTCTGTTCTTACTCCCATACCTCTGATTGTTTATAATACTTGGTGATTTCTGTTAACCTGTCATGAGGATTCGGTAGAATTTTTTATTATCTTTATAAATGATCTGCATATGGTGTCAGCCATGTGACCTGGAATTGCTTCCAGATATTTACATTCACCTTCTTGAACTATTTGTACTAATATCACAGCTGCCAACGTCTGAATATAATTCCCAGGAATGCTTTCATACAGGGCGAGGTTCTCTAGGCAGCACTATACAGTGTGCTGTAAACATGTGATCTATGCTACAGACTCAATGGCCCATGTTGTTTCACAATCTATATACTACAGCATGTTTAGTGTATTTAAAATTTCACTCTCCAGCAAACATACTGAAGTCTTGATTAAAGTTTTTAAAGTTCTCCATATTACAAAAAAATAGATTTTTAGCTCTAGTATGAAATCTAGGGACAAATATGTGCCTCTCTTAAAACTAAACTGGGCATTCATCAGCTAAGAAATGCCCTATTCTGGTAGCGCATGTACAAGGAAATATAAAAGATTAGGAAGACAATATCTTCCTAAAATTCAGTTTTCTGCAGACAATCTTGTAAATTTATTATATATTTTATTCTGACACCTGGAATAAAAGAGGATGTTCACTTTAAGAGCACCTTTTAGGAGCACCTCTATATAGTAATAGCTTGGCTAACAATAGCAACACATCCTAATATTTAGAGCACGGGTTATTCTGTTATATTTAAGGCAACATGAAACTTTTAGTAAAGTTCTACAAAGCCATGGTATCTGGTGAAGAATAGGTACCATAAGATTTCAGAACATGTCTTTCTGGAATAATATTCCTCCAGGCAGTGCCCCTCAACCCCCTTATAAAATTAATTGTTTTCACTGAGACAGTAAGGTGAAAAGTAGCCAGTTGGACACAACATCAATACAAATCTGACAGTTTCTAACCTTTCCTCTCCCTATAAAACTAAAACAAGGTTTTGAATGAAATTCCACTGCAAGCTATTTTTCAAATGAAAAACAATTAAAATTAAGTAAAAAAAAACAAAACAGGTAAATGATAAAAACATTAAGAGATCCAATGCTATTATTAGTTTATCACTCAGAAAAAGATGTAAGCAAATATTATCAGTTTAATAATATCCTTGTGGTCACCTTTCAGCTCACAGCTGTCAGACCATCATATAGGCGGTCTCCTCTGCCTGATTACTGCAATTACTGGCATTTCAGCTGCACAATGCACATCACTAGAAACTGAATCCTTTTCATAGTAAACAATGGGACTCATTTACACTTTGCTGAACACTGAAGACACTTCCGATACTTCTTGCTCTTAATAAATCAGTTAATAAGTTAGAAAGGGAGACTAGTCTATTATTCAACCACAGAGGTTACCAAGTTGGAAGGAGTGGTGGATGATGAGGATGCTGTGAATACCTTCCCAGTGGCAGAGAAGATAGCATCCATAATGAGTCTGCAAATTTATGCTAAATGGAACTAATTTCATACCCAGCTGTTTTTTTTTTTTCCCAATATATTTACAGCATGCTTGCATGTGGATGTGTCTTAAATCATCTTTTATGATAATCAAGCATAATTTTACGCAAAGTACAAGCATTCTTTAATTTAGTGAAAACAATCAGGATTGAGCAATGAAGTTAGCCAATGAAAGTGATGGAATGCTTTACTGTGCATCTGCAAGTACTGTATATACTGCAGCACATACTTGCTTCAAAATACACCTGTTTCTGAAGAATGGCTTAACTAAACCAATAATAGGCACAACAACAGTCACAAGTATTAGAATTAATAAATAATGCATTATATGTGGACATCTACTAAGAGCTAAGCTTTTTATATTTCATAATGTTCAAGTAAACATATGAACAACAAAGAAATATACATGTCTATATAATGAACAGAATGGTCATACACTGTGTAATAAGACGATGGAATGAAAATTGTATAAAAATAAGAATAAAATGGATGCAAAGTTCATTGGATAATCTAGGGCTTGGTGACTGCCATATCTTCCATATCTAAAACTGCCTAATACTTATTACTTTGAATATATAGCACACTTGGTCATAACAAACATCCATTTAAAAAAAAGCTATTGGAAGGCCTCTTAGCATAATGTAATCCTGTGTTTTCCATCTTCACTATTTGTCACATTGTCACTAGATCATAAGAGCTTTTCTCCAGAAAATATTTAGAGAAAATCTAAAATTGTAAAAATATGGTCCATGTGGCTCAAGAAAGCAATTCTACCAAGTATGGAACAACACCATATAAAAAAAATGTATTTTGATGTATTTGTAGGCTGCTGAGCCTTACTCAGCCCTGGTTTTCTTGTGGCGGTGTCAATAAATAATCCTTTGTATTTACCTGGCGTAGCATATTTGCCTTAAAATACACATCAATTTAGATAGAATATTGAAAATATGTAATCAAATTTATATTCATTTAAGTTTCACATTTGAGTGATAGACAAATACAGGTTTCTGCTATTATGCAATTTTGTATCTCTTTATTGGAAGAAATATTATTAGGCTATATAGCAAAGGGATAGCAGAAGGATTTTTCGGGAGATCTGTATAGAGATAGTGAAACAAAAGTAATATATATGGGCTTACCACAACAGAATTTGATTTCAGGGTATTAACCGGGGAGTCTGTAAGCATTACTGGACTTTTAGATGTCAGTGTTTGTTCACCATCAGATCTGCAAGGCTAATGAGATGATGTAAAAGAACAAAAAAAATGAGAATGGGATGAGGAATGTTTACACAATAAACAGATGACAATATCACAGATAAACTGCCACAAGCCATGCTAGGTTTTTGTACAAACACACGGAGAGTACGCCTTTATTTTCCACAAATCCCATAGTATATCTTCCATGCAAGAAAACCACAAACACCCACTGAGGATTTTTACTAATTATTGTGCACTTGTCACTATTGTTATAAAGAGAACAGCAATATATTAATAAGGAAAGATATAACTTGCAATAAGGCTTAGTGCTCTACCAATCAGAACCACCTTTTCTTGCTCTGACTACAGTAAACCGACGAATGCTAATATTTGACTGGTCACAGCGAGTTTCAGCAAATTACTCCTATTTGCACAGTAATGATCTTGATTAAACAAGAACCAATATAATTGCTATCAGCTCCCATCTGAATGGTTACCTCTGTTCTGTTATCTCTTACATCACACGAGACAAATACTATATACTGTATGCTATGCCTTTATTCCAAAGGCCCACTGCACACTAAGAATATCAGATGAATGATTGTCTGGTTTTTTTTTGCATCCTAGTCTTATATCAAAAGTAAGAGGTTACTAAAATTACAAAAATTATTGCACGACAGAAAAAGTTTTTGAAAGTGATATAATGTATTGTATTTATAGTATAATTTCAGACGAAAACTGTACTGATTAAACAAAAATCGTATGATCCAGTATCGTACAAGAAAAAGTTTCATGCTTCCTTCAAATAATTTCGTACAAAAGCAGTGTATTAACAATCAGATTATCTTGTGATCACTTCAAAAGCGGTATTTTTTGTACGATTTGTATGTGATCGTGTGTACTAGGCTTAAATCCATCTAAAAGTGAAAAGCCATACAGTAGCTCTGGTTCTCAATGTTTGATGGGTCATAAATTCATTAAATTATGGGCATGCCCAAAAAGAAGTTGGCATATAGTGAATAGGCAAGGTCCATTGTTTTTTGGTTGTCTCTACAACTGTTGATACTTGCACATATGCATGAGAAACAGGATATGTTCACCAATAATCTATTAAAGATCTACTAATGACCTATCAAAGATCTATTAATACCTTTTATCAGATGAAAGCTTTTCACTCTAAGGTGTACAATATAAGAAATATATACAAAAAAAATGAGGTGAAAATAGAATATAGGGCCAAACGACTAGAGACTTTATAACCTAAAGCCTGTGCGCACATGTCATGTTGACTAGGCCTTTTTGTTCTAGCCTTGTCCTAGCGAAGGCCTTGTTCACACCATACATGCAGAAAACTGATGGAAACTGATGTGCAGATTGCACTTGAAGAGTCATTAATTTTCAATGAATTTTATAGATGATGCAGATGCCTGCGTGGAAAAAAATCTGCATGTGATAATAGTGTTGTAGTGTGAACAGGGCACATAGAGAATAGATTTCACTGTGCACTTGCAGAATGCGTGCAGAAAAAACTGATGTCTCTGTACCAAGGTGTTAATGAGCCCTAAATGTCAAACAAATGGTTTAATTGCAGGTATATTTACAAAATTGATAAAAAAAGTAGTGTTGTGAACAGGGACGGACTGACAACTCATGAGGCTCCCGGGCAATAGGGGATCATGGGGCCCCTGTGTCTTTGCCCAAACAAAAAAGCCTATGAAAAAGGCACCAGGGGCATCTCATGGGGCCCCCTACTGACCCCAGGCCCTCGGGCAGTGCCCGAGTTTCCAAATGGTCAGTCTTCCCCTGGTTGTGAATAACAATATGATGGGTATTTAGTGAGAAGGCACCAGGAACACATTTAGTTAAGTTCATCAGTTTACTTGCTATCTGTGCATGCCTTTTGTGACAAGTGCCAAAAAAAAGCAAAAAAAAAAAAAAAGCATACTTCCTTATTCAATATGGTAACACAAGAGCACAAGTCAGATACACACCTAAGTAACTAAGCTAACTAACTTTGACTTTGAGTAATAAGTCATTAAATCAATACGCGATATAAAGTAATCCAGACATTGGCATTGCTGCTTCTAGCGATAGATCTACATTGCCCAGTCTTCACCTAACATGTACAGACAAATGAAGAATTTAATAATCAATGCATCAGAGCAGTTTTATGACAAGGAAACAATTCAACTCCTGTTTAACCTGGTTAGTACATTATGGAATAATTTGTAACAATGTTTTTACTTGCAAGAAGTAAGCAACTTGTTAATCCTAAACTACAAAACTCTTCAGTTTTTTTCAAACTCCAAGTTTATTTAACTATGTTTATATTTTGGTTTGGGGTTGCTAATGGTAGATAGAATTGCCTACCATCTTCTAATTTCTCTTTGAGACTTCAGTACAAAGATTACCCCACAACAGTTGATGTCTCTTTCCCATTCTGCAACATTGTAATGAAAGCTCTGCTATCTGGACCCAACAATTATTTGATTATTCTACAATATTTATCAGGGTAGTGTGACACCGTCATTTGGCTTTGTAACGGTGGCAGTTGATAGAACTGGGAATCCTTGCAAGGATATTTTTAGGGCTCAGTCACATCACCTGCATGCTAAATGTTTTGACATGCGCGCAACTGTCAGTTTTTAGGTACAGTGAGATGTGGTGAGGGGGGTGGCGTGATGCATGTTTCAGTGCATCACACGATTTACCTTTTAATTTTTTAAACTTTATTTGAAGTTCAAAAGTGACATTCATGTTTCTAAACAACAATGTGCTGCACTGCTGTGATATGTGATATTATAAAATGCTACATTTCTGCCTAATACTGTAGCTCACCGCACTGTACTTCCTGGCTACAAATAGTCACCTCATCCTATGCTAGCCACCAGGACTTCTCCAGAACCTCTCCCATCCTCTGAAACTCCCTACCCCAGTATGTTCAGTCAGCTCCCACCCTGTCCACCTTTAGACTATCCTTGAGAACTTATTTATCTAGGAAAGGCTACCCCACCGCCACCTTACGAACTGTACTTGAGTCACCTCCATCAGATCATCCCCATGCAGCTATCACCTTTTGCACCACCTCCCCCTTCCTTTAGGCTGTACGCTCCATGAGCAAGGCCCTTCTATTCCCTTTGTTTTGCACTGCACTGTAATTGTACTATTCTTCTGTATATTGTAAAGTGTTGTGCAAACTGTTGGCCTTATAAAAATCCTGTACATTAACAATTGCTGTGTGCATGGGATATGCACAAAACAACTGTTTTCTATGTGCCCAAGTGGTTACTGGTGTTTATCTAGTGAGGAAAAGAACCCTTAAACTGTGAATGAGATCATAAACTGGAGTTTGTTGGAATTGAAATGTTAGCATTTTCTAACTATGAAAGGATTTAGTCCTTAGTTGTTCAAAAATTAATGAGCAACTTGCACAGACCTACAGCAACCAATCAGAAATTATTATTCAATTATCTCACTAAATTAAATAATATCAGTTAGGTTGCCATGGACCTCTGGAGCTCCTCAGTGCAGGTCACAGGCTAAAAGGTGAGCCAAATCTTGCTACAGGATGTAATGCAACTCTACTCATACAAATACAGATATAACTTTTCTGCCAAAGACCAACTCACAAATGATTTTCAGTGTGCTTAGAAACACAAAATAAATTATTTGCTGTTCTTGCAAGGCTGTACATGCCTATTCGTGATGCGCGCCAGTCAGTGTCAAGGAGGGCATGCAGATTGATAGCAGGGACTTGTACACAATGCAGAGCACAAGCTGATAGCTGATTTTAGCCATAACATACAGTGGCTAGTTACCTGTGACACACTGACCCTGCCTCTAATTCTGGGAGGTGGCTGTTTTGTGACAGGACAAGAGGACAATGCAGAAGAATAGGCAGATGAAGAAAGTGGGATTGTGTCTGTGATCTTCAAAGGAGAGAAAGCTTGTCAGGTAGAGTTGGCAGGAGAGAAGATTAGTATAATGTTTCTTGTTATAAAACAACATGCACAAGGAACAGCACCTTCACACTCAGCAAAACTTGTCATTATATGCGTCAGTTCACTAGGAATCATTTCAGGTTCCTAATGAAGAGATATACATTACTTTAACAATATTGGCAGGTTTAAGCCTTTGGATGTCTACCTGCACTGTGTGCTTAATGGGTAAACTAAGTATTGCAGAGAAATGCCTCATTCATACAATGACTTTACGACCTACATGTTCTACACTTGAGGTTACAATAACTATCACTAGGCAAATTTAAGGAAGTTGATCTACTGCTTCCTAAAGTCTGTCATCAAGGAAGGGTGTATCTTCACAGGTTAAATACTCCACACTAAATGCAATCATTTTCTGACTAAAACCAACTTTATAATTTTCTCATGTCTATGGTCACCTGTAGACATTATGGTATTTTTTGGAAATTGGTACACAAGGATATCAAAATCAGGCTTCCAACATGTATCACTGTAAAATGCTCCAATGGAGCTCATAATACTTCCACAAGGGTACATTTTCACAAGCAGTGCAGCACTGCCTGTAAAAACTGGATAAGGTGAGGACAATAATGACCAACAGAAAAAATCTGATCAAATTATCACTTGTATAATTGTCCAAAAAGGTTAAATGACAACAAGGAAAGACTAGTATCCAAAGAGCTAGCTGTTAGCATGAGGTTGGAGTTTAAAGTCATAGGTTTTAAACAGAAAATAACTTCCCTGCCAGGTTAGCAGCTTATGTTGTTAAGTGTTTCTGCATGTGAAATTCCTTTTGATGAATACAACTTATCAGCTATAACTATCTCAAAGTGGCCACAGCCAGTAGATGGCAGCCACACTTTTAAAAACAGTCCAACTGACAAATGTTACCCCTTTTCCCATCTCCACTTTTGCCACAAGGGGAATAAGTCAAACAACCCAGATATCAAACCAGTCTATAGCCTTATCCTTTTTGAAAATGGCCTACTAAGCATGTCTCCAAAGGTCAGTGATACCAATGGACAACCCAAGAATCTAATGTTTATGTGAGCTTTAGGGAGAGAGACAGACATATTGTTCAGAAGATGGCTGTGGTCCATCTGACATATATAAAACTTATGATTTTAAGTCAATTTAGTCCAGTTTTTCAGATTGCAGCTCCTGTTTGTTTTATGGTAAATTAGTCCCAAGTTATTGATCGTTTGAAAAATTTTCAGTCATAGTACCAAATACAGGAGAATGAGGGGAAGGATTTAATTAATTTTACTAGAATAAATGCTGAACGTAAAAGCCTGACAAAGAGATCCCTGTGCAAAAGTTAACATTTATGTGTTTGCTCATTAATGAAATTCATAAATTTACAATTGGAATACATTAATATAAACGTTTCTTTTTTTTAGGCCCCTTTTATATGAGTGGTGTGGTCAAGACTGGCTGTCAGTTTTTCAGGCAGACATCATCAAAAAACTCCATGTAAGTCTAAGGACAGGCAGATGTAAATGTCCATCCAGATCGAGAAAAAATGGAAAAGGTGTGTTTTCTTTTCTAGACCTAAACATGACAAATGAAAAGTAGTCTGATGTAAAATGTCCATAGATCCAACATGGGCCCAGAAAGCTCTGGATTGTAAATACAGAAAAACACTGAATGGGCAAGGATGTCACAAAAGCAACATCCATCCCGTTCTGCATTGATTTCTGCTTTGATCCAGCAAGGGATCTGTTCACGGATCTCTTGCTGATTGGACTGGACAGAACCCATCTGAAAGGGGCCATATACCTTTCCACATTTGTAAAGTCATGTATGTGAATGGGCCATACACTATTATATGTTATTAGTAAAATCAAAATGTTAATAAAATGCACAAATGTCAGTGTTCAAGCTATAAACAAATAATTAACCTAAAACAGAGGAAAGGAAACAAAAGTTGTGGTTAGTATAAAGCAGTACATGTGATTTTTGTCATACTTGACAGCCCATCAGTACATCAGTTTCAATTTCCACACACTTCAGTCTTGATGCACATAAACTGAGTGCACACACATGCAGTATATGTACCTTAATAGGACTGCCCTGAGCTTTCTTCCCATCATCTTGATTATTACTGACAAAGCTAAAGAGTTCTTTACACAACTGCTTCTCCTCATAGGGATCAGTATGCATCTTAGAATTTGAGTCTGTACAAAGGTTTATACTTGACTTGTTGTCAATATTCTTAAGACCAGATTGCTTCCAATAGTCATTCTCACCATTGACTATGGAGCTGCCATCACTCTTGACTTTGCACTGATTACGCAAAACATCAGTGAGCTCTGAGATCAGGAAATCATGTGGTCTTTGTGACTGCACAGGAGAGCCTCCATAACTGGAAGGAGAACCCATGAACTTCTCATCACCATACGGAGAAATGACATAACTGATTCTAGTAGAAGACTGTGGCCGGGAGGAGTATGTTGGTGCAGAAGACAGGGCAGAGTTTGGGGTGGATCTACCAGACTGATTGCCATAATGCAAGCTGACAGAAGGGGTTAAGGAGAAAGTAGGGCTTGCAGCTGCAGATGGGGTTATATAATCTATGGAGCACAGGGTGGCCTCAGGTAGGGGAGGAAGAGGAGGAGTTGCAGAGTAGCCACGACTACGGGAGACACCCATTGTAAGAGAAATCCATTCAGATGTAATAGCCTGCACTTCTGGAGAAAAAGCTCTGCGAGCAACATGGGGTGGAGTGGTGGTACGAGGCCTGGCATAACCAGAAGACTTCAAAGAGAAAACATAAAAAAAATAAAGAAGATGAGGAGATGTCATGGAAATGCCACTCATACAAATGAATAACAAATGATAAAATATGATTTGAAAGATGTTTTTTCTGCTATTGTTTTCTTCTCTTTTTTTTTTTTTTTAACAGAACTGCTATTGTTTTCTTAATGGTGATAGGGGTATACCAACCTACTATTTATAATAAGTAGAATTATGCATACCCAGTTGTAAATAGTGGTTATTATATCCATCCAAATACATTTTTTGTATAATGTATTCAAACTCCCTGAAACAGCATTGTAGTAAAATGTTCACCCTAAATGCATGTTTTCTATTACTGTATAAAATCCAAATAAAGCTCACATCTCCATTTCAAATCCAATACCAGCCCAGGCTCTCAAACCAACCCCAATTGTTATATCCCATCACTGTTCCCACCCCAGTAAGAAATTTATCAAAGGTCAGTCAAAGTAGCAATCATGTAAAAAGGAAGCACCAACACTATGGATGGAACATACATGTGACAGAGATTTTGATGCTGGTTCCAATAATTTACCAACAATTTAAAACCAACTCCAGCCAAAACTTTTTTAGTTTTGGACAAATCAGGGAAGAACTAATAAACTCTGTAAGGTCTTCAATTCTGTCTGTAACGCCACTGGAGAGGTTTTCCCTCACTTTCTGTTCTGTCTAAAACCCAGCATCTTGGCAGCAAATAGGGGAAATCTACCTCATGGATAACAGAGACACAGACAGCAACAATATAGGACACAAGAAAAATGGCAATTATTTTTATAGACCATGGGTTTCACGCCGCTAACTTCAGATGACTGGATGCTGGCCAGAGCTTTACTGAGAACATCCCCACTGCACCGTCATATAGCCCTGTGTCCTGTACTATACTCCCAGATATGAAATTTACAGGCAAGTAAAAAGTTTCCATTATCATAATTGTAAAGTTTATGCATTCGTATATCATGGGACATCCTAAAGCAATACACTGAGGGGTGGGTAACAACTTAGCAAAAAGCAGCAAGAGGCCCATAAAAAAACAAGGATAAACAGATCCAAAACACTCAGATGACAGCTTGAAACACCTTGCTACCAAAGCATGCATCAGCAGAGGCCTTGAGATCTACCTTGTAAAACTTTGAGAAGCAGTAAAGAGAAAAAAAAAAGGGAATGGTTTGGAAAATTTTGTCAAAGGAAAAGAGGTCCATCACCTAAGAAAACTAACAAAAACTGGAGTCTTAAGTGGGTGGGGCCTAATGAGCGGTGCACCAAGGGCATCCCCAAAAAATGTTTTTTAATCACCTGAAGGTAGCGGCATATAACCCATGGTTTAAGAATACAAGCCCACTGTTCGTACTAAAAATAATATGTGATAAAAATCAACCAGCGCAGCTATATATAGAACACTTCTGTGAACAAAAAATGGATATTGCTTGTTGCTAAAACATCACCTAGTGTTTTTCACCACTCCTCTGCAAATATATCAAACATTTAGATGTAGCACAATAAAAAAAAAAAAAAAAAATTGTCCAATCAACAAATTAATATCTCAAATATCCATGAATAAATCCTCCACCAATGGGTAGTGATCCTATAGCTTTCTAATTCCCTCCAGATTTTGCATGCGCCACCCTGTGTTCATAGCACACGCTCATCTTCTTTTATTGACCACAATATCATATTAAGGTCATAACATACTTTTGACCCCACCATGGGCTATTCGGCATCTGCTCTCCTCTAGGCTCTTATCCTCCACCTGCAGTACTCCGCTAGCCCTATTCCATTCTTCAGTAAATGTACATGCAAATGCAAAATGGGACCAAAATAGTGCTCTCAGTATACTCCTATTTATTTCATTCAAAATTCCACATAGATACGCTCACATTTAAAAAAACACCCAAAGTGCTATGATAATAGCATAAGATAGCACAACTTATGGTCAATATGTCCACATCTTTATAAGGATCTTTCTCACCAGTGTGGCTCCTGCTCCTATACGTGTTACGCTCTTCTCACAAGCTGTTTCTCGTGTGGTATGAACACAGGGTGGAGCATGCAACACTTGGATGGAATTAGAAAGCTCTAGGATCACGACACATAGGTGAAGAATTTATTCATGGACATTTGAGATATTAAGTTGATTGGACAATTTTGTTTGTTTTTTTGATTGCACTACATCTAAATGTTTGATACACTGTTCCATACTGAACAATTAAGGTATGTGTTTGTATTGCTGCCAGTGTCCTCATTAGGTGGTTTTTCTCTTTATATCCTGTCCAACACCTGTCATATACAAAAAAAATTAAGTAGAAATCTCTTAAATTGGGGCATAGACAGCAATAAAAATTGATAGAGGTTGTAACCCTTCTACATTAAATCCAAAGCTAACTAAATATTGAGCTTTAAGAATGTGAAAAGCTGGAACTGAAATACACATTTTCTGTTGATACATTTCAGGATGATACATAGAATAACACACAGCAGGCTCATACCTGTGGGGACGCACTTGTGCTTCTGTTTGGTGAATAAGTCAATGGCAGATCCATGTAATCTGGTGCGTTCTTAACACGCGGCCTCTTGAGCACATCTACATAGGTTACTGGAAATATACCTTGACGGCCTGTACCGGATATCTTCCCTTCATACCAGTTCTCATCCACTCTGCGAATCAACGTTATCCTTTCACCCTTTAAATAAAAAATACTACTTATTCTAATATCCTTTGGAGATCATAATGATGAGAAACTTTCATTTAGGATTACTTTCTTTCCAAAGTAAACAAATGTCATGGAAAGGAATGGATTGCCTCAAGTGAATTTAGGTTATCTACCATGGAACATTTTAATTTTAGGTGTAAGTTTGAGAGCAGTCTTTACAGACAGACAATATGCACAATGCTTTTGACAGCCAAACACCATCAGCTCTTTTGGCTAGGGTTTAGATTAGACAAAAGAGCTCAGCAGCATCATTATTTTATAGCACGAAAAGAGATTTTTGTAAATAAAAACCATAATAGGGTTTATGCTGTACGGATTCCTTTTAAGCATGAATTTTAACGACAAAGTTCAGTTTAATGTTTTTACCTTCTTAAAAGACATTTCTACAGCTGTATCCCCATTAAAGTTAAACTTGGCAATGGCATCTCCATACTCTAAAACTTGCACTGGTGAAGCTTTCCGTGGCTGTACTTTCTCAGTTTGTGGCAACATCTGCAATAAAAGCAAAAATATTCAGCCCACGATCAAGAAAATGGCTTTCTTGTTGTCATTTTGGTATAAAAGTCATACCTCAATATATGAAATAGGAAAGATTCCCAGCCTTCCATGATGTTCTCCTTCAAACCAGTTCTGATCTACTTGCTTGTAAATGTAAACTATATCTCCTTTCTGGAGTGGCAACTCCCTATATGAGTGAGTAAATAAAAATGACACTGATTACAATAATTACACTTTAAAATGAAATGTATTTGAGAAAGTGCAGAAAAATTGGAAACCTATATATCCACAATGTTGTTTAAAATGTATCTATGGTCAAAATTTAAAATCACATATACTGCTATTAAAAAGAACAGTCATGAAGCTTGAAAACTAACTTTTTGAAGTTTCCCACTCATTTACTTCCTTGAATTCTCTGGCACATATTCAATATACCATGTTAATGGGCACTGCTGTGTTACAGAATGCACAATGCACAGAGCTTGCCTTCTGAGGTGCTGAAAGGAGGAATTTCAGGAGGCAAAGTCAATACAGGAATCACTGCTTGCATGCAGCAAGGTACCATGGGATATGTAGGGCGTAGAAAATAGAAAGCAAAACACAGAGGAGTAACTACAAAGCAGACAGGAAATCCGTGAAGTTGTGGAAAGATATGGCCAGCATATGAGCAGCGCTCACAACATGAAAGGAGATTTTTCACGTAAGTATATATTGGAGCCTCTGACAGCGGGAGATTACAGGCAGTTGGCGTGAAGCCATCGATGGAGAAGGATTTCAACTAATAGAAGAGGCATCAATACTAGGGACAAATCCTACTCAATGTAAGTTACATCCCTTGTGCTCTCATCTTTGTGTTTTGTTTTTTTTTAACTGCAGTTCAGCTTTGAAGCCTTACTCCAGCCAAAATGTTGTTTCCTGCTTTAGGCATATAAAGAATAGTTAAACCGCAAGTCAAATTTTACTCCTTTACTTGGTCTTGTGGGGAAGATTCTCTTGGTGGTCGGCTTCAGAGACAGGAAGTGAAGGAAAATATTTTAAACATAATACAGAATAAAACCTCTGTCAGGTTTTTGTACCTGTTTCCATTGAGAACATGTCCCTCAACGTCTGGCCCTGTTGATAACTTTTGTGTCAGGGTGTAACTGGATCTCATCATCAAGACAATTTAAGAGAACACTGTCCCAATGGGAACAAATACAGTAATAAATACCTGAAAGAGATTCCAACCTTTGGCATCTCAATTCAAAACTCAAAAAACTAAAGTTATGGCTGAAGCTAGGTTTTAAAGATGGCCTTGTTATATCCATAATTTTCTTTCTAACATGTATTTTCCATAAACCAGTGAAGTTCTGAGCTTAAATAATTTCTTTTCCCATTGTTGCCCAGATACAATATATATCTCTACAAAGGAAGACAGTACTAGTGGCCAAATCAAGTGCAGGGAGGAAAAAGTATGGTGAACAGCTAATTGGAGCCTGTGAGCCCTTTAGTGGTCTACACAGATTGAGTGGTTGGTTAAAGGACAGCGAGATCTGTAACTTATTTGCCTTTCCACAGATATGGCCACATTTGACAGACATGTCCAGCCAAGGGAGATATGACCTACTATAAAATACCAATGCATCATTTGAGCTTTTAGTTCTCCCAGTTTAGCCGTTCCACATTTGCAAGTGTAATTCTTTGTCTGTAAAGTTAAGGGAACTCATAGGCTGTGTGACCTTTAATCATAAACTTCATATATGGGTACCCCAAGTCTCTCCAAAATAAATGTTTTCATTGCTCTCCTGCAGTTTGCATTCCCAGCATCTTAACTCTAAAAAACCATTAAATGAAGGCAATACTGTTGCAGTGTTAATAGAGACCCAGCCTGTAAAAGAAGAAAGATTAAATTTACATTTCCAGTAGACTGCATGTTAAACTTCGCTCTTTGGAAGAGCTTATGGCACTGCTGCCATTGGACACTTTGGGTGTGCCAGATAACGCTTTTCCTGTTAAGCACTGTGGTTTAAAGACACAGTAGTGGCCTATGAAAGGAACCACAGTATCCAGTGGAGGGGGGGGGCACCTGGAGCGTTGGATAGCAACAGACCCCAGAGCAGTGAAGATTCAACGCACCATCCACCGGAAAGGCAAGTACTGTAACTTTTACAGGCTGTGTCTCTGAATAGTTCTTTACAAATTGACATGATTGCTTGAAATCCAGCAGTTTTTTTGTTTTAGCCTCTTTCTCATACAGTCATTACTAGGCTAAGTCTAGAAATCTCCCTCCTTTTGCAGTTTCCATGTAACATTAAAAATCAAGCAATCTAGTGGGTGATTTAATAAGTGCCCAAAACTGACTTAGGCAAAGTTCACACTAGCTTTGTTAGCAGGTGTTATACAGGCATTTGGGAATCGTTTTTTAACGCTCCTCAAATGCCTATCAAAACTCTACACATGGCACCACACTGAAGCATTAGCGTCGCGGCAAAATTGACACCTTATGTCGAAATAAGGAGGAGTTGAAGCCTCCCATTCAAGTCTATGGTGATGCTCCTCAAACGCCTGGCAGGCATTTGCAGAGTGTAATACCATTAAACGTCATTATAGGCGTTTGTAGTGCGGTTTTAGGTCTTGGCACACGCCTCACAAACGCGCATAGGGCATTTGGGGGAGCATTTGAGGAGCATTAAAAACGCTTCCCAAATGCCTCTCAAACGCTATAGGGGCATTTGGCAAGAGTTAGAAATTAGTCAAGTGTGAACAAGCTCTAAATGTATCCATCTTTTTTGGCCTGGATCAGGAGAGGATTCATTTCCTGTGGGGCAGCACATAACATCCCCGATTGAGTGTTTGTGTGGAACAAATACCTGGACAGGTTGGAAAGTCTTACCCAATCTTGCCCACAATCTTTTCCCTTCACCACTATAGTAGAAGCAAGCTGAAAGACTTTAAAGCCCAACATCAGACAAAATGTTTTTTTTTGTTTAGAATGGGGAAGAACCTCTGTCAGGTATACTATAAGTGCCATCTGTGTTTGTGTGGGGAGAGACGTCCCTCACTTTCTTTATTATCATACAGGATTTATATAGCACCAACAGTTTGTGCAGTGCTTTACAATATGATGGGAGACAATACAGGAACAATACAATTCAATACAACAAGGTCAAAGGGCCCTGCTCATAAGAGCTTACAATCAAACAATTTATCTCATAAATTCAAATATTTCTAGTAACATATATAGTATGGATCCAGGTGCACACATATGAACTGGAATTTGTACACTTCAGTTGGCAATAATACTAGTTCATTTGGTGACCAATATGGAAGGACTGAGGCATGTTCAGATCATACTTGAAACCCACCTGAGTGAGTTCACCAGGAAACTGTCATCTGTGGCCGGGGTATTCCCCTCCCTGCAGCTGCACGTATACAAGGGCATGCATACGTGTAGCTCCGGGAAAGTGAATGCCTCAATTGTTTATATCTTGCATAGTACATCGACCACTTCCTGGAGGTCTTGTTCAGTTGGGTTTGAAATCGGATTCAAACACACCTCAGCTCATCCCCAGTGACCACAAAGGATGTTAGGAAATCTTTTTTTCTGAGGACACAGACTGCAATAAAAACCTAATAGTGGTTCTCATATAGGCTCTTTCTACTTTAAAATGTTTTTTATTCTAGTCTGTGCTTTGATTATTGGCTGTGTATGTGACCACAGAGGAATAAATCTTAGTGGCCTCAGAAATGGCAACACAAAAGATTCTATCCCTTACCCTTTCAGTCTAAACCAAATGAAGAATAAATCAGAACATTTTAAAGAAAGAAAAAGACAGTATTATCAGGTCACCTACTTTGGAGACTGTGCTTTGAAATCAAATTTTGCTCTGGCTTGTGTCATCTAAAATAGATATGGAAAAGTCACTTTAACAGATAATGTTGTAATTATTCTGCAATTAACTGCTTAACAAAACAGATTAGGAAAAATGTAAATGTTACATGTAGAGCCCACAATGAGTTGAATTAGTTGGTTTCTTATAACCAAATAAAGTTTTTGGTGCAAACTCAAATGCAAATCTGACTTAATTGCCCTTATCTGAGACACAGCTCATAGAATATTGATGACTAATTAAAACATTATGCAGCACGTAGCATATGATATATTTTAGTTGGATTTGCTGTTAATACTTGCTAGTGATTATTAATGCAAAAAGTATGCGGAACAACACTTTCATCTATAGAATTTACATACTAAAGTCATAGTGCATCGCCTAAAGCCATTCCTTCTAACTAGACTTGTCTAGAACAGCAGAGAATGTGTGCCAGCCGCTGGACATGAGAAAATCACAGATAATATGAATTATTAATAACTCTCTTTTAACTTCATGGCACGAAAAGCAACAAAGTGCATTTCAATTTCTGGAATGTGTGCATCTTATATCAGCGATGTGCCGAAATAATTCAACTGCTGCACTTGACATAAAGGAAACTAGGAAGAAAGGAAATGTATTTTTCATTTTAATTTTAGCATTTGTGTGGGAATATGGGCAATAGGGTAATAGGTTTTACTTTTAACTGCAGAGGTGTAATCCAATGTGGATGTTACATTACTATTAACCTTTCCTATAAAGCATAGATTTAAAAATAAACTGCCATTAAGGTGAATGTAAACCCGAATTGTATTTTTCAGTATGTTTGGTATCATGTCTCACTCTATACAATTTCCTTACCTGGAGATCCTCCTAATAAAGGCTGACAAAACTAAGCCACTGCCTCTAAATTAGCAGGTGGTTTGTCGGATTGTAGTATCAGCTGCTTCATGTTACAGGGCAGCCTACCTGACAGACCTTATAGGAAGCCCACCAGCCAGTCAAAGGAGTTCACATGGCAGTCTAAATGCTGTCAGCCTGCAACACAATGTGCTGATACTGGTAAGAAATTTTGCAAGAGATTAGCAAAAAATAATTTTCTTAAAGCTCTACATAATGAGGCATGGTTTCAAACATACTGAAAAAATAGATTTTGGGTTTATATAAACATTCATGTAGATCTTTCACAAAAGTGAAATTCTGAAAATTCTAGTTGCCCTGCTTTTATACAAACTAGCTGGCTCTAATACTTTTTAAATCTTAGATGTGGAACAAATCTACAGATCAAGATTGTTAGAGAAAAGTATCTGGAGATCTGTTCTGGGTCAGAAACCAAAAAGTACTGAAGACAGAAAGTCAGCATGACAGCCAGGCATTGAGCATTTTCAGAATAATGAATCAGCTTCCTTTATAGCTGTTATTGAATCAAACGGAAACATACTATAAATATAAGACTCAACTTCATTCAACTCGTGAGGACTTAACGTGTATGTCAAGGCAAAATAAAAAAAAAAATACATATTTTGTACATCTCTACAGTACATGCACATTTATCTCTTTCAACATGCTGCAAGTACAAATCAATAACTATTGATGTGCCAGAAATTTAGTGTTCCCTTGCCTTCCTCTTTGACATGAAATGAATGTTATGTATGTTTGGTTCTGAATTCAAAAGCAGGTGTTGTCAGACCTACTGTACCTACTTTATTTCAGGTTCATTACAAAGAACACAGACTTCTTATCTCCCTCCCTGCTACTTCACTCAATAACCCCTCTTTATGTACAAACAGGGATCACAGGAGGTTGTCGGTTCACAAAATTTCGGGCAAAATCAACAGGATTTTTTTGCACTTCTAAAAACAGATATAACACCACACTTTCAATGGCATATTTAGCAGACCAAAAAAAAAACCCCAAAAAAACAAATGAGAGAAGTTAATTGATAAACTTTACATATATTTTAATTAATACAAAGTAAAATGATTAGTACACAGTCTTTAAACGCAGGAAAAGCATCATTTTTGACATATAAACATCAAATAACCTTTATGTTTCAAATACAAATAGGACAGAATATGGGAGCTGCTAACTTTTTATGGTTCATGACCGCCATCCTTTACCTTCTTCTCAGATAGTCATTGACAGACAAGCTGTGTTTGGTCTATTTTGTCCTGCTAGCGGTCAAGATCACCACTGCGGGCTCATGGAAGAAACACTCTGTATCCATAAACCGTATGAAACATAAGATATCCTGGATTATGCTCCATGAAAAGGTTGCTAGTGTGATTAATGATAAACAAGCAATGTTTGAACACACCTGGGAACCTTGGGCATCCTTTATGAAGATCGCCTTGCCTTCTTCCCAAACTTGTCTATATACTACCTTCACTCCTTGAAAATCCAAGGTCTCCTCTCGCTCTACTCCTCCTTTCTCTCTCCCTTCTTTTTGGTCTTTTCTTTCCCTTTCTTTCGACCCCTTAGGGAGAATTTATTTTTTCTTTTGTATTATTTCTTTATTTCTTGCTTCCCTAATTTTATGTATTTAAGTTGATTGTCAGCCTTTCGTTATACAGTTAAGGTACTTTTTCATGAGTGATGTATTGTAGGTGGCAACCCCTGAAGACCTGTTCGTGGGCTTTTCCCTTGGTATTTCTTTCTGTATCTCTAGCACCTAACCATTACTTGATATACAGTGCCTTGAAAAAGTAGTACAAACACAAAGTTAAAGGTCACAGTTGCACAGAGGTATACAAAGCCAGCAAACTAGGTGCGGAATGACACCAAGGCTAAGAAGCGACAAAAATCGCTATAGCGGATAGGTGGAAAAAACTAGGGGTAATGCACCATCCATAGAAGAGAAGGACAATTATTGAGCTGTCCAAGGCTACCAAATACTTTTTGTACTATTTCATGTATGAACATTTTCATGTGTATTTGTACCTATGCTTTAATCTATTTCAACTGCTTTTTGATATCTATGCTCTGTATATGTATGCTCTAGCAATCTCTTTCTCTGTTTCATTAAATGTGTATATACGCTGGTGCCTGAATATTAATTTTGTTGCTTTCTGGTTTATTACGATAACCTCATTTTTTGAACATCAGTATGCATGGGTCAAACAGTTTTTAGAGAAGTGTCAGGACACCTGACCTGCATAATTGTTCCAGGTTAAGGATGACAGCCCCACAACTACCTTTAAAGTAGAACTATAGGAAAAACGTTTTTTCATTTTGGATAGAGTAAGGGAGGGTTATAACCTCTGTCACATTTATTTTCACCATCTGGGTCCCATTGTGAAGATTCCCCAACACTTCCAGTGCCATAGCCGAACAGGAATTGAGTAGAAATCCCTACAAATTAAGGGAATTCCTTGGAAACCCCCAGGCCACCAGAACTAGTGTCCCCATTGGAAGATTTCCTCTCTATTACTTTTCTGGGGATAATCCAAAAATTTGGTATTTTCTTTTACTTTCACTTTCAATGATAATGGTAAACAGGACAAATAGAGAGGGTGAATCTCCCTAATGGGGTCATAGACAGCAATAAAAACTGACACGGGTTCTACTCCCTCCCCACTACATCCAAAACAAAAACAAAAAAAGAAGATTTGCCTTTAGTTATGCTTTAAAAATAGCCAGTGATTGCAAATCCCATAGGTCTCTCCTAATAGGTTCTCTTAAATAAATAATTGCAATATAAAATTATATAAAAATTCTGAATTCATATCCAATCTTTAAAAATCCAAAGTATAGTATAATTTTTTATAAACAGATGACAAAGTTAGGATAGAACACTTAATATTAATAGATATCACCTGTGTCTACTTTTAATAATCTAGCATTTTGTTAATATAGCATGTCACAATAGATAATGCTTTCCTTATGGTCCCAAGACTGATTCAGATTTTAATTAGTTGTTTTATATGACAGATAACTGGGTCATTATTAGGATGTTGTCTAAAAGGACTTCCAACTGGCTGATAAAAATCACTTTTACTACCCATTGTAGTAGTATGAAGCAATGAAACATTTGGATAATCATTTCAGAAAACATGGAAACTGTACAGGAAACATAATTACTGTACTTTATTGTGCCATGTTATTTCATAATACTGAGTCAATGTATTGAATTAAAGGGATGCTCTGTGTATGTGTCATGAAACCAAATGAGATACAGAAACATACTAGAAGTGGGTGGCCATTGTAACAACTAGACCTCAAAACCAGTCAGCTTCCAGTTATTTTATATCATCTGCCTGGTTGCTATAGGTACTATAAACATTTTTACATTAAAAGCAAATGTATTACTATTCGTATAAACCCAGTAACCTTTCTTATTACACAACACATTAAAATTTAGCATAATTTTAGGTAGGTTTGATTAGCATCATACACAGATGTTTCTTTTAGCAAGATTAATAAACACAATCATACTTATTTCAAAGGTTTGTTAGTAGTTAATCATCAGATAAAACATGCATTGTCTGATTGATAAAGGAAAAAGAAATTCTCCAGCATAATACAAAATATAACCTATATGCAATAAACTATAATAAGTCATAATGGCATGCAAAGAGCACCTAAGACCGCAACTAACATGCACATTGCAAGCGCTAGTGATCTCATTTCATCTACCAGCCAAATTAGATAAAAAGCAATTGATGGAAAAGCAAATGGGCGGCATACTCTAGGCAATAAATGATTGGCTACAGTGAATAGATGTACATGGACAATACGGATCTGGGCCAAGCAGCAGCCTAATGTCCACAAGAACAGACCTCAGACCGAGATCTCCTCTTTGATGAATCGTCTACATTGAGGAGTTCTCCAAACCGCTCATTAGTGATAAACTGGTGGTGTGATGGGACAATCCCAGTGTGCCTCCTAGCAGCAATATCAGCTTCTTCTTGCTCACGTTTAAGTCTCCGCTGATCCTCTAAAAGTTTCTAAGATAGAAATTTCATTATTGGGCTTGTGAAGCACCTGCCTGGTCATGCCACTACTCAAGGAATCAGTAAATTAACTTCCATCAAAAAGATTGCTGAGAAGCAGGATTTGGCTTTAAGATACAAAGCAGCTGAAGCAATAAATGCAATACTGTAATGTAATACTTTTACTGTCCTAGGAGATTTACTAAAATGTAACTTATTAGCAAAACTCCACTACATGATCCAGACAACACAATGTACACCAGGAATGGGGATTTGGTTTTTTAGTTTATATGTATATTGCTATGGCATCGTGAAGATGATAATTGGCCACATGCACATACATCTGTTAATACAAATACTAAAAATATTTTACATGATCCAGGTAGCATGAGGACGGACTAATTAATACTAAAAATATTTTACATGATCCTGGTAGCATGAGGACGGACTAATTTTTTTTTTTTCAGACAATGGGTTATGCTTTTTCTACATTTAGCCTAGAGTTAAGCACTGTAGGTAGTTTATGTACAAATCATGGTTACTGGATTCCTATTTTATGATTATCATAGAAGATGGATGGTTAAATAGTTCATGTTTTCTCCACTATTCTAGCTCTCCACTGCTTTTCTATGACCATTAGGTATGTCTACTGCTCCAATATCATGCGATCACTATACACAATGTATACAGTGCTGCATACAAAATGTGTACCAAGTAATTTCTCACATAATCATTAATGAATGCCTAAAAATAGTTTTTATTAACATGATGTTATATCCTCAGACAATATATTCTCTGACAAAGCCTGCATTTTAATCATAAGGCAGCAGTAAACGCCTAATCGACCTCTACGAAATTTTCATGAGATTAACATGTATTCTACCATTGCTGATCTTTCTGAAAATGCTAGTTTCTTGAATGTCTGTAAAAGGTTCTCATTTATCCAGGCTATGTATTTCATAGATATTAGTAGCTAGTCAAATTCAACTGGTCTTGTTCTTGAGGTTCAAAGGCATCACTTATCCAAACCATTTCTTCAGTTTAGAGCTTCTGATAAGCTGTGAAAAAACTTCAACATCAAGTACAAGTCCAATGAATATGATCACTACTAGCTAGCTCCCTAAATGTTATGCTCATCCCTTAGCTTCTATACAATCTGAGTCACACATCTGGAACAAGCAGAGACATGAGGAGTTCTGACTTTTATTTGCTGCATGCCTTTTCCGAACCTGTGACTCAGAAGTAATGATAGCAGAACTAATGATGAGCAAAACCAGTGTCACCCAGCTGCAAATGTCAGAGCCCCTACTACACACCGAGGACATAGCATTTGAATGACAGTGGGTTTAGTGTCAAGAGGGGCAAGAATTAATCTTGACCAGGGAGGAGGTCCTTTGTTTAGTCTGGGCCTAGGACACAAAGGGCTCCGCAGTAACACAGGGATCAATGTTAAGACTACCACAGGTAAGGGCCAGCATTTTAGCACTATTGTTACCTTAGGCACTTTCAATGCCAGGTTAGGTTCAATTTAAGTCCATCCAGTCCCAATACTTAAAGTGCTCCTGTGCTTTGCCCATGCAGGGCAAAAAACAGGTTTACTTATTTGTGATCCTCCCCAGATGCATGTACTCACCTTTCCTTCACTCTCCTGAAGCAGTTTGGCTAATTGGAGCAAAGAGAAATACTCAGTATTTTGCTGCTGGTGCCTTGGTGATTGACAGCCCACGCACTGTCCCTTGCACTACCTCTGTTGAGCACTGTCACATGAAGGTGGGGAAAGAGGCTCTACATAGGACATTCATCAAGAGAACAAAAGTAATGGGTGAGCGAATGAACTATGTGCAGCTGGGGAAGATGTTGGTGAAGTGAACCTGTGGCTTTGCCTTGTATGAACAAAGCATCGATTAATTTAAGAGACATATAAAGACCAGGATTTTGAGCATACAATTTTTAAAGGGGCCAAAGCAAAAAAATACATTGTGAGTGAAAACCATAGACTAGTACTATTATCAAGCTAGAATACTTAACAGTACAAGCAGGTGTAAGGCAAGGAAATCAGGATATGCTTTTCCACATAAAAGTAAACCTTTCTGTTGGGTGGATTTACTAAAACTGGAGAGTGCAGCGGTGCATGGTAGCCAATCAGCTTCTAACTTCATCTTGTTTAATTAAGCTTTGAAAGATACATGGAAGCGGATTGCTTTCTATGCAGAGCTGCACCAGATTTTGCACGCTGCAGTTTTAGTAAACCCACCTCTGTGTGTCTCTAGGGGTCATATAAGGTAGGTTTTGCCATTTTTAATGGGTTATGGATATTAAAAATACAATCAGAAATGGTTTAAAAGAGTCTTAAAGGTTAAAATGTTCCTATAATGTTTAGGTGCACAAAGTACAGGTGAGAATACTGAGATATTTTTCAGACACACCTACCAAGGCACTGACTAATACCTCCTTATTTGACATTAGTTAATGGAGATTAGATTGACATAAACCAAATGTAACTACCACAAGAATTATTAACATAGCATAGATGCACAATAATACTTAAGCCTTCATAGGAATATCATGAAAATAAAGCAAACAAGTACTACATACTTTATAGTATTTGTATGCATTTTGGAGCTTCATCCCTTTTATTATGTTGGCACTTAAAGAATAAGTTTATCTTTGGGAACATGTTACATAATCCACCCATTTGTAGGATGGAACATGCAGCATGTTCTCACTCCTGCAGCTGCTGCCTCTAGTGACACCAAGCTGGGGATCTTCTCCCCCGCTCACTGTCACTTTTTTAACAGAGTTCTGTGAATGGGAAACAACAATTACCAACAGCCTTTGCAGCTGTTGGCTTGCAGTTTTCAGCGAACTACCATGGCGCTGTTGAACGCTCTGGTAGTTAGTTGTCTCTTCTTTTCAGTGTGTATCTGCCAGCCCATAGGAGGTACGAGCAGTCAGATATATTGACAAATCTGCAGGAGTCCTGCATGGCACCTGCGATCTGCTGCTCATGGGTACAATGCTTTACAGGCTCCAACTAAAAAAAATAAATGCACATTTCTTTACCTGCAAAAAGATGTGCATTTAGTATCATCCTTTAAAGCACATCTATCAAGAGCAAAAAATTTTTAAATTCCACTGTTTGGCCTCCTTCTGAAAATGCTTATTGCCTTGCCTGGCTGTGTCTAGCATCATTAATTCCACGTCATAGACTCAGAACTAGCTTGTGCAAAGTAAGTGATAGAGAAAAATTGGATTTTTTCAAATGTATTGCTAAACTTGTTCTAGGTCACCGACTCAGAAAGCTTTAATGCCAAAGCACCAGAATGATGGGAACTTGCATTTTCAGAAGGAGAATCGGTACTGGCAGCATACATATTTCCGTTGTCAGATATATTTTAATAATCACCATTACCAAATTATAATCTGCAAAGCCTCACTTCTTCATCAAAAATGCTGCAGCTTGTAGCATATTGTAGTAAAAGTAACACTAGGCCAGCTAATGTTATAGATATGTCTGCTCTTTCAAAAAAATTAAAAAACTGAGAAGTGTAGCTGACAAATAGTTTTTGTTTGCTACTTTAGAGTACATATTATATTAAACATTACTTTGTTGGTTTCTACTGGTAACACCTATACTTATTCTTTCCTTGTCATAATTATAGTACACAATCCTAATTTTGGTCACCAAACTGAATACATTTTTAAAGCACCCCATTTACATTCATTTTCCCATGACTGCAATTTTCAGTAGAGGAAATCTCCTTTGCATGCATAATTTCTCCAGTACACTTCACAAATTATCTTGGATATCATCTAAAGAGCATCTACAAACTCATTGGTTTTCTTAGGACCAACTAGTGTTGCAGATTTCAAAACACAATAAATCATTTCTCATGCCACACTCGAAGGTCACTACAACACCATGCATTTGTTTGTCTTGCAATAGGTAAAATCTAGAGGGAAGTTTCAAAAGTACAGAATATAAGAGAATACCTCTTTACTGTCATAACGCCGACGCACTAATTCTTCTGGATGATCCATGTATTCAAGAGGTGTAAAATGTCTTGGAGATTCAGAATCTAATGTCCAAATAATAAAACCTAGTTAGCGGATGTCTTTTAGAGATAAGACAAGGACAGACAGAGGTAGCACAAAGGAGAAAGTCTCAATCACTTATTTTCTAGAACTATAAAAAGCATCACTGCAACCAAACATTTGAAAACACAAGTTTGTGATCCTGCTGACGCTGATCAAAACAGGATGGGAAGGGTTAAGAATAAATGAACAGCATTTTGATGCAAACATCATGATGCAGTCTCAAACAGGACACAAGTAACTGTAGACATGACCCGACAATGCAAGACATACTGACTCATGCATAAACGTGGTTTTAGCTGGATTTTGGTTTATCTAAATTTGGATATGTTAGCCACTCTAAATTTTCATCCTGATTTCTATGGCTGAGTGTTATTACTATGAGGAGACAAAATCCTGACAATGGTTTATCATTGATCTGAAGTATTTTCAATTGCAGAAAGGTTTTTAATTATTATTTTATCCATGTTACCATGACTACAACAAAAAAAAAATGGAAATTTGGCATTGGTTCCCACGGAAAAAAATGTTAAAATATAATGTTTTGTACCTTTCATTGTAGTCCTAAATGAGACAGCATCATAAGAAGACCCTGAAAGTAGAAGTGACTCCTGAACAATTCTGTTAAAGGGTACCTATCACAAATAAATAGTTGTTCCCACTGAATATAGGTGAGAGGTACACTTTAATCCAGTGCACACTGTGTCCAGGATCAGTATGTCTGTTGGTGGTTCATATTTTTTATTACTGAGCTTAAAAGGTTGGAGGAAGCTATTTACACTTTTGAAATAAACGCATGTAAATGTCAGCACAGAAGGAACACAGACGGCAAGCACAGATGTGGATTCAAGAAGAAATGAAGGTGGATGACAGGTAGAGATGGTCTGTCACACAGATGAAGTGTCACATATCGTCAAGATGCAGAAAAACTCCACCTCCTGTGACTGCTCCACCTTCACTCGGCTCACTGTTGTTGTTTGAGTCCAAATTGTTACATAAAGGAAATGAGACAATATCACCATTAGAGTTAGAATATTGCTCTAGGTTGGCAATGTCATGTTCTAGACTGTTAAGGTTTACGCAGCTTAATCTTTCCACAATGTCATATGAAGACTGCCGTGTAGGGAGACAGGGCCTTTCTTCAACCCCCTCTGAAGACTTAAGACTCTCATCAGTCTGGCTCTCTGCAGCTGACAGAACCACACTGCTGTGCTTGTCAGAGGTGTCTGAAGACTTCTGTGGGCTACTTTGTAATGGCTTTTTTAATTTGAAAGGGAGGGGACTCATAAGAAACATATTTCGCTGAAGAATCAGACGTTCAGCTTGTGAGTTGGATGTGTTGTTCTTGGCCATTTTCTGTTCGTGCCTTCGAATAGTTGTAAATCTTGTGTAGGAAGCTGGACAGGAACTCTTGCAGGTGTTCATTTTATATCTTTGGGGAGGCTTGATGGGATTGTTACAACTGTCAGTTGAAGCATTGGAAAGATGGTCCGTCTCATCAGTGCCACCAGAAAGGGCATCTACTAAAGCATTGTCACTGAGGTCAGAGCTCATGTCTTCAACATTACTACTAGTGGTGGAAGCTGTGTGCACTTGCTGCTGGGCCTCATCCTCATTTACCTTCACTGGCATTTCTATAAGCGATTCAGTAGAGCAGGCAGAGATAATTCCTGCTGTTGACTGTGGTGGTATTGCTGAGACAGTCTGTCCACTGGATATGTCTAGAGAAGGCATAGATCTGGATCTCTGAATTAATTGTTCGAATGCTGTTACACGGGTAGATACATTGTGCTTGGGTACATGTTCATAACCCTCAAGTCCAAATCTATGGCATGACTTGAGCTTTCCTTCCTTTTCAAAATGGCTTGCTATGTCTCTCACACTGGAACATGAAGAAGCACTTTGTAAGGTGGATCGGTTAATATGATGCATATCTCTGTACATGGTGTTGAATTCTGAGCCACCCGACTTGAAACTGGGTGGAAAAGGACATTTGACAGAGTTCAGACTGTATTCCTGCAGGCTCATGGTGCTGCCCGACTTCACTTTATAATCCCTACAAGATTTTGCCAGCATATTTTCTACACTTCCCCCAGCTTGTCTCATGCAAGTTTGCTTGTTGTCAAAAGATGAAGGTTCAAGCAAGTTCTCACAGCTCTGTGCCTTCTGCTGAGACAGCAAAGTGGACTGTCTGTGCAAGTGGGGGTCCTGTGTGGTCACTATAGGTTTGAATTTGGATGGCAGAATTTCAGCTATGCAAGCTTTCGCAGCAGACAAAGAGGACTTCTGCTTATATAGACTGCCTAACAAATTACTAGCACTGCACGCTCGCTTGTTAAATGAGGAATGTGAAAATACATGAGCATTCCCACCTGTGGGGTCCATATGCAAGCATGCAGAATAAAATAAAGGCATTGTGTTAATTTCACAGCAATTGTTGGAGACAGTGGCACAATTATGATGTCAAGCCTGTTTTAATTAAACCTCTCTTTTTGAAGAACATACTGACAACCCCTATATCAGTTTCCACTATAATACTACTAGTTGATTAGTGAAATAGATCAATGACAATCTGTCTCAGCCAAACACAGTATAAAGTAAAAATGGGTTTATGACCTCCACTGTATATCTGTGTACTGCCGAACACATACATATACTAAATACGCTACTTTTAGCACTTAAGCACAAATACTTGCCATGTCTCGCCTTTTCAGCAGGTCTTTTAACAGCTGTTTGGAAACCTGGTAGGAAACCTTCCAACCACTTGGCAAAAGATCATATAAATCCAGCTGCTGATGTCAACACCAAAAGGAACCTCTTCATATATTCCAATGGTGAACCAACAGCAAGTACAACATACAGATTAGGACAACATACTTGTACTTGATTTTTGCATAGATTGTTAGGAAACAGTGTCCCAATATTTTTCTTAGTATTCTTTATTTACCAATTATGAAAAGAAATCTTGTTTCTCCAAGAGGTTGAGACCTCAATTGAGTTATACCAATAGAGTGGGGAATGCCTACTCTTTCCTGAGTCCTTTAGTATGTTCTGTTTCTCAGTGTTCTGAATGCACAAAGACCTACACTGAGAGGTTCTGGTGGTAAGTGACTACTGGGAGCTTTTTCTTCCTGCTGTAGTTCCGCTTGTGTTATGGTGCTTAAACCCATCTCAGAAGAACACAATGGTAATTAATTTCAGATATTCGCTACATAATCCAAAGGTAGATGTAAATATGATTGCTCCAGTTGACATTATTTTTTGTGACAGGATAAATGCACTTATATTAATAGAGGGTTTGATACCAACAAGCTTTCAACTCTATTGCCTAGAGGCTACAATAAAACAAGAGCAGCCTCTCCGCATTATCTTTTTTGTAAGTCAATTGTCTTTGTAAGGAAATATGTGTAACATAACTAATTGCATGCATTATACATTCTGCATTTGGTTGAAAAAACAAAAAGAGAAATTCAATATGCAATGTGTTTGATATTACATAATTATGTTATATACTGTGCATTGTATCTGCTCTGTGGCTTTTAGGCTCTTGGCGGAAAAAAAAAAACGCTAATTTTCAGTATTTCTTATACTAGTGTCTAGGAGCGTTTAGCATTTTTTTCTGCCAGAAAAAAAACGCTCTCAAAAACACAAAACAGAATGGTTTTCTTTCTGCTTCTAAACGCTGAGCTTAATAAACGCCTCTAGACTACCTAATGTGCATGGACACATAGGAAAACATTAATTACTTCTACAGGCAAAATGCTAAACTCCTCTAGGAGTAGCATTTTTTTAAGCCAGTGTGCATGGAGCCTTAGAAAAATTGTATTAAAGACCTAAAATTAATTTAAACCTCTTCAATCCTATGCTGTGAATATAGGTAATCAAATATACAGCTTCAGCACAACCACATAGTGTACGCTACAAAGCAATTTGGATCATTACTAATATATGGGGAAATGGCCTACAGAAGAAAAGTTCCCAGTGATCATATGACCAGTGATGCCTCCATGTCTGCTGGTGCCAGTGGAGAAAACTGAACATACTACGTGACTTACAGCAAATTTATCACAACCAACATGGTATAAACCAAGTGCAGTCTGTTACTGCCACCCTAAAGGTCATCTGACAGCTTAAAAACTAAGCTGTTTTAGTATTTGGTAAATTAAATATGGGATTGTGTTACCTAACAATTTATGAAAAAAACAGTTACAAGCAATTTGTCTACGGTTGTCCTTTACATTTGTAGGTGTGCTTTGCCTATAACAGTTGATGTAGAGGTAGCCAAGGATTTTACTACTGGGGTCCCATAAAGCTGTTGAGTTATGGTAAGTGACTGATCCATGCCCAGTTTACCCAAAACAGAAAATGTATTTTTATTTAAGTTGTCGTTAATCAGTATGATGCAAAGACACAAGTGTTTGTTTCTGGGTTTATCTACAGTGGGTCATTATATTTTACAATGCACATACTAGAAAGTGACTTTCACAGATCTGTATATTTATACAGCATTATAGCATGTAAACAGCTGTGCATACAACAGAGCTGGATGATACCAGAAAACCTATGATGGCTACAAATGAGGTCTGAATTACCTTTATTGGAAGCAGAGCTGGATGGACGTCTGTTCAAGCCGCTCAGTCCCTGTAATGGGATGTCTCCTCCTTCTAATACATTCTTGTAGATCTGCCTCTCATTTTCAGTCAGTGGGGGCTCTGGTGAAGTTTCTATCTCTCGGCTGTAATGGTAACTAGGTGCATAAGAGCTGGAACACAACAAAAAGAAAGTAAATATGTCTGGTTTTCAGCCTCTTCTATGGTGAGGAGACTTTTGGCAAATCCTGTTTTCCAGATCATTAGTGTTTGTTTAATCGGTTTCATAATCTTGAAAGAATGCAAATGTTTGCAAGCAGCGGGAATAAAGGAGCAGTACTTCTGTGTGGCAAATGAACTGACAGCACAGAAAGTACATGGATGAGTTTTTTCTGAAATGAAAGTGCTGCAACAAATCTGGCATACCATTCTGTAATGTTCAAGGAATTTTGTACAACTGATAAGAAAGCTATAAAACATCTCAGGCCATAGTGTAATTTTCCCTGTACCAAAAAACCCAATTCTAGCTGCAGACTATACATGGTCTTTGACGTCTACCATAACTTGGGGCTAAGCCATACTCTTTCCGGAGTTGTTACCTCTCCATTTAAAGGTTATAAACTTTTTTCTGACTTATTTTCTCCAGAGATGCTTACACTGGAGATTCTCCCTTTTATTTGTACTTACAATATATATATATACATATATATATATATATATATATATATATATATATATATACATACACATACACACACACACACACACACACACACACACACAAAAATGCATACACACCATCAATATCTATATATATTCATACATATGTTTTAAAGCTGGAGTTTAGGTATGGTAATTTTTATATAGTTATGTTAGTTCAGCTTGGACCAATGTAAGTATGTATGTACCATATCTGTGGGATCCCCATGCAAACTGGAAATCTCTGTAGTAGGCATCGCTGCCCGCTACATTGTGAATACACGTGCTTTGCCATGGGCAGCATTCCAATTGCATTCTCTCAGTGTTTGCAAAGCATTTTCTGAATGGACGAGATGAAGAAGCAGAGCAGCGAGATCACAATTTCTTCCTTGTTCAATCAGAGAGCATTTTGCATTCAATGAGAAAATGCAAAGTGTTCTTTAAATGAGGTTTGGCAGCAGTTCTGCCCACTGAATGCACCAGTAGGTATAATCTTTGCAACAGCAAGTGTATGCCCCCTTCAGCCACAGTGTTAGATTAAGGTGGACAGTCAAGCCATGGCTCAAATGCCTATTTTTACCACCCCCAAGCCACATGTGTAAATGAGCCCTTATGCTTTGAAATTAAGAAAGTGCGTGAATGTCACACCAATACAAGTGTTCAGATAAGTCTAGTGGGATTATTTAAAAAAAGCAGAGAATCCTAACTCTTCCATGCTAACCGGTTTATATAGCCTTAATCTCAAATATTAAGGCCTTGTTCACGCCATATGTGCAGAAAAACTGATGGAAAAAATGTGTAGATTTCACTTGCAGAGACACGAGTGTACATCAGTTTTCATGCGCGTTTCAGTGAGTTTCATTCATACCATGTGCAGAGAAGTGAGTTTTTCTGCACATGTTGTGCAAGAGCACAAAGAAAACAATTGTTCTCTATGTGCCCTGTTCACACCACAACACTAGCATCACGTGCAGACTTTTTCTTCACAGGAATCTGCAACGTGTATGCAGTTTTCTGAGCGGTAAAAAAAAATTACATGATATCAGCATTGTGGTGTGGACAGGGCACCTAGAGATCAATTGTTTTCTTTGTGCTCTTGCAGAGAATTTATGTCACATATTTTTACACAGCAAAAAAACTGACTTGACAGAAATATTGAAACTCACATGAAAACTAATGTAAACTCATTTCTCTGCAAGTGAAATCTGCACCTTTTTTCCATCAGTTTTTATGAACGTATGGTGTGAACGAGGCCTTAAACTTCGGGCAGAAAAACTGTCATTAAAACCCTTCTTGCTACCGCCCCCTGGACTTTTAGGGGTTTCTAAATGCTGAGAGGCAGGCATTCCGATCATGTGACTACTGTGATTGGCAGTCACACTGGTCACATGAACAGAAAGCTCCCGATCACAAGTATGCATCAGAAGCTTTCTGACCTCCAGCGGTAACTGTGGGGAGTAGAAAACTACTTACAGAACGCTGCATATATATGCAGCCTCTCAGCGTCAAAGCCCATATGCCGAGAGGGCAAATACACTAAATTGCCAAATATCTTGGGACACTCCTCCAAATCATTGGATTCAGGCGTTCCAATCACCTCCATGGTCACAGGGGTATAAAATCAAGCACCTAGGCATGCAGACTGCTTCTACAAACATTTGGGAAAGAATGAATTGCTCTCAGGAGCTCAGTGACTTCAAGCGTGGTACAGTGATAGGTTGTCACCTGTGCAATAAGTCCATCTGTGAAATTTCCTTGCTACTAAAAATATTCCATGGTCAACTGTTCGTGGTTGAGTTGCTGTTGTTCCCAGTTGCTTCCACTTTGTTACAATACCACTAAGCGGTAAGCCAGGTAAAATGACAGAACGGGGTCAGCGCATGCTTAAGCACACAGTGTGCACAAGTCATCAAATGTCTGCAGAGTCAATAGCTAAAGACCTCCAGACTTTGTGTGGCCTCCAGATCAGCACAACAGTGGATGGAGGGGGGATTATGGTGTGGGGTTGTTTTTCAGTGGTTGGCCTTATCCCCTTAGTTCCAGTGAAGGGAAATCTTCTGATGTCAGTATACCAATACATTTTGGACAATTTCATGTTCCCAACTTTGTGGGAACAGTTTGGGAATGGCCCTTTCCTGTTCCAACATGACTGTACACCAGTGCACAAAGCAAGGTCCATAAAAACATGGATGAGTGAGTTTGGGGTGGAGAAACTTGACTGGCCTGCACAGAGTCCTGACCTCAACCTCTCAACCTTTGGAATGAATTAGAGTGGAGAATGTGAGCCAGGTCTTCTCGTCCAGCATCAGTGCCTAGCCTCACAAATGCACTTCTGGAAGAATGGTCAAACATTCCCATAGACACACTCCTAAACCTTGTGAACAACTCAATATTGAACCCAACGGACTAAGACTGGGATGCCATTAAAGTTAATTTGCATGTACAGGCAGGCGCCCCAATACTTTTGGCAATATAGTGTATATGCGTACCTCTGGCAGGGAGTGGTTAAATATATTCATCAACTGCCACAAAGGATATAAATCTACTTACTGTACATCAAATTACTTTAAAAACCCAGTTATTACCTTGTAGAAGTAGCAGGGATGTCATTACTGTGCTGTATATAGCCTGTGCAGAGAGCAGAGCTGTGGGAGGGACCTAGTAGGTCCACCCACCAATGGCTGCCTACAGAAAGCTACAAAAAGGAGGGACAGGAGGATACAAGACTAGTCACTCTGTACCAGAAAAGAGAACAGCAGTGACCTGTCTTTAGTTCAGGAAATTCCTGAACAAAGGGAAAACTTCACATTGGGTAACTGGACAAGTCTGGAAGATATCCACAAAGCACTCCAAAATTCATGTAATAATGCACATGCCTCTTGAAAGGGAGGACATTTGCTTACCTCAGGTTTTTGCACATTGATCAGGCAAGTCACATAAGTATAAGCCATTTTAACCAGATCATCTTGTCTTTCTGTGACCTAGAGGGCTCTGCACCAAACTGCCCTGTACAAAGATTTAATGGTATCCCTTACTAAACTAATATTTTGTTTTGGCTGTGCAGCAGCGGGATGAATGAGAAACTCCACTGAACACTCTCCTCTTCCCATGATTTACTCCTTCTTGCACAACTATGACAAACTTGGACTGTTCTCCCAGCTCAATCATCTGAATCATCTGATTATTCCACATCATGAACAAAGCTATCATTAGTTTTGTAATGGCGTGGACATTGGGTGTAATTAAGAATTCAGGTAATGATAACTCTCCTTAAAACTGAAGTTTAGGTATGACAATTCTTACATAGTTACATTGGTCCAGCTTGGACCATGTAAGTATGTATGTTCCATAACTGTGGGATCTCCATGGAAGCTGAAAAACAGTTGTCTAATCAGAGAATACTTTGCATTCATTGGGAAAACAGAAATTGTTTCCTGAATGGCATACTTGATTCTGTGATCACAATGCAACAGGGTAGCCACTTGGCATGATGGGACCCAAAAGCTAGTGAAGATCACTGGACCAATGGCCATTGTAACCATGTACAAATGACCATATCTAATCATCTGCTTTGAGATATGTAAAAAAGGCATCTGGTGATTAAACTTCTCTGCAACCACTAACATATCTATTTTGGTGGAGCTGGCCCTAAAATAAGAAAAACCCTACAACTAACATTATACAATATGATGTAAAAACTATTACTCCTGCCCCTTCGGGCACACATGCTGATTGTAAAATATATACATATACACACACATATGCTCATACCTATGTTTTACCTTTTCCAAATGGAACAAATGAACTAGAGAAGGGATTGCAGCCAAAAACAGTTTATTGTCTAAACTTTAATCTGTAAAATGATTCTATTTAGATCACATGGCACAGTAAATCCAAGGTGCAAGCTGTCTTTTATTTAACAATTCATAACACATGGATTTCACTGTGAACAGATCTCTTTCATTAAAGGCAGTTACTGGCCTACTTAAGCTAGAGAAAAAATTCCTTTAAATCTACCTCACTTCTAAAATAGGTCATGCATATTTAGCACCATGCTTACTTACCTGGACAATTTAATAAGCTGTTATCCTACAGCAGTACTTTCTTTAGTTTTTTTAATGGAGCTTAATCTTAAAAGCTCTTAGTCACATCTTACAGACCATGTTCATTATGTTCAAATGACTTCTATTGTAAAACCCACACACATTCCAGAGTGTGGAGACAACTAATGAATCAGCAACACACTACACAAGCCGAATTTGCACAAACTGTACTTTTGCATCGTGTATAAACACCGCAGATATTAATAGCTGACAGGAACTCCACCCAGAACCTAACAGACACTACCCGCTTTGGTAAACACAACAGGACACGCTGATATGTAAAGAGCATACAATTTATCTGTTTGTTGGGAATTCCCTAACAAAATTTCTGCACATGGGTCAGCCGGCAACGCAACCACGTGATCTCCCTCAAAGCTGTAAAAGAAGATCTCTACAGCTGTACTATTAATACATGTAAATCTGTACTAGAATGTTTATACATTTTATCTACAGATGATCTGTTAAGGTAAGAAATGTTGTGCTCAGAACTTTAGCTAAGTGTAATAAAAGGTATGAATGAAATTAATCCCACAAATTTGTCATCCATTATATCTGTAAGGTTGCCAAGGAGAAGAAATGCTGGAATTATAGGATCCTGACACACTTCTGTTCATTATAACATAACTATATACAAATTGACATGTTAAATGTTTCTGGAAACGATATAAATGATAAGAACGTGTTAAAAAAATTTTTTTTAAAATTTTATATATATATATATATATATATATATATATATATATATATATATATATATATACACACACATATATATACACACACACACATATACTTACACATACATATACACACACACATTCGTTCACTGATGCAGGGTATCATTTTCTAGCAGTTAACAGGATAATAAATAATAATATATTTCTTTGGGCAGTAGATGCAGCCTGTATGCATTTAAACAAAATGAAGAGAGAGGTGGCATAAAATGCAAAGAAGTGATGGTACATGTACAATAGGATACTGATCCTACAGGTATAGCAAGGCAGGAGGTAGAGATGGTCCAGCTCCAATATGACACAAACTGTGGTATACAGTATAGAATGTTATGGCGGTAGAACAATTATACACAAGCATAGGTCAAACATAGTACAGGTATACCAGTGCAAGAGATGACAGCTAAAACAATGTAAAAGGCAGAAGGGTTTAGACAGTATATTTTTAACAGGGCAGCATGCGGAAGTGGTACAAGGAAAACAGGGTAGGATGTGGAGGAGTTATATGGATAAGAAGGTAGAATGTGGAGGTGGTATATGGAAAACAGGGTAGCAAGTGGAGGAGGTATATGGATAACAATATAGGATGAGGAGGATGTATATGGAGAACAGGGTCAGATGTGGAGGAGATATATGGATAACAAGGTAGGATATGGTGGTGGTATATGGAAAATGATATAGGATATGAAGGCGGTATATGGATAAAAAGGAAGGATGTGAAGTTGATATATGGAATAAAAGGTAGGATGTAGAGGTGGTAGATGGAAAACTTGGAAGGTTATGTAGGAGGTATATGGATAAAAAGGTAGGATGTGGAGGTGGTACATGGATAGCAATGTAGGATGTGGAAAATGTATATGGATAAAAAGCCAGGATGTGGAGGTGGTACATGGATAACAAGGTAGGATGTGGAAATGGTATATGGAAAACAGGGTATGATGCAAAGGAGGTATATGGACAACAAAGTAAGGTGTGAAGATGGTATATGGATAACATGGTAGGATGTTTAGAAGGTATATAACAAGGTTAGGATGTGTAGGAGGTACAGGGAAAAAGGGAAAGGATGTGGAAGTGGTACATGTAAAACAAGAAAAGGGTTTGGAGGTAGTATATGGATAACAGGGCTGGAAACAGAGCTGGTACATCTATCACGGAGCCAGAGATGGGAATGGTATATGTATAGGTGGTGTAAATTGAACATGAACAACTGGACATGAGATGGAAATGGTACATGTTTCACAGGACTAGAGGTAGAAATGGTACATATATAACAGACCAGCAGATGGGAATGTTATATGTATAAGGGGATAGGAGGTGGTGCGTGGATAACAAGAAAGGGGTTGGAGCAGTTATGTTTACAACAAGCAACAGATGGAGAAAATATATTTTTACCAGGGCAGGAAAGGAGGCAGGATAATAAATAATAATATATTTCTTCATTTACACAAAAATGACAGATGGTGAAAATGATACACACAACAAATAAAAGGTGAAAGTGGAGGTAGGACATGGATAACAAAGGAGGAAGTACACGGATACTGGGAAAGCAGAAGTGGTACACAAATAACAGGGCAGGAAGTGGAGGTTGTACATGGATAAGCGAGCAGTGAGTGGAGGGGGTACATAAATGACAAGGACGTGGGAGGAGAAACTACATGGATAATAGGATAGGATACTGAGGAGATACATGGATCACAGGAGAGATGGTGAAGATAAAACACATATAGAAGGGCGGATGTGGAATATGGATACCAATGTAGGGGTGGAAGTGGTTCATGAACAGGGCAAGGGGTGAAGGTGTTTCATGAATAACAGCAGAGGAGGTAGAGTGCGCACATGTTTCACACAACAGAAAATGGAGATGCTTCATGGAAAACAGGACAGAAAGTAGGGGCTGTATATGAATAACAGGACAGTAGGTGGAGCTGATATATGGATAATAGGAGAGCAGGTAGAGACTGTACATGGATGGCAGGACAGAAGTCAAGTTGATATATGGATAACATGACAGTAGGTTGAGGCTGTGTATGGATAACAGACAGAAGATCGAGTTGATATATGGAAAACAGTACAATAGGTGGAGGCTGTATATAGATGGTAGGACAGAAGGTGGAGCTATTTTGATAAAAAGACAGTATGTAGAGGCTGTATGTGGAGAGCAGAATAGAAGGTGGAGCTGATATATGGAAAACAGGACAGTAGGTGGAGGCTGTAAATGGATGGCAGGACAGAAGGTGTATCTGATATTTGGATAGCAGGACAGTAGACTTAGGTTTTATTTGGATAGCAGGATGGAAGATAACATGGCATGAGACAGTAGATGCAAACACAGATGATGAAAGTGAAAACTGGGAGCATCATAATCAATCTTATTTTCTAATTCAATAAAAAAAAAAATACTTCATTCAATGGACAGCATAAAACTAAAAACAGTACATTTGCATATCATTTCATGCCCTAGGATTAAAAACCAAAAGGGATAGCATTACATTATGGGCTTAAATATGTTGTTAGCATGTGAATAATATTGGATAACATTTGTACAACTGACATTTCTTGAAGGGAGTATTCTTCTAGAATCCGACAAAAACTCACAAATATAAAATAAAAACAAGAATGAGGAGGAGAATTGAAACTTACTAAGATGGAAGATCGTCTTGGCGGCTCACAGCTGCGTTCTGCAAGAATCCAAGAAAAGAACTGATTGATATGGGTGAATAAAATCAGACAATATCCCTCCAGTTCCCTCAGCACTGTGTCATTGTACCTCCATGAATGTGTGAAAACTTTAGCCGGCACCGTATACACTCATGCCTAGGAGAGCCAGATTTCGGGCAGTCACAGTGCAAGGTTTCTTAAAATGACTGGTCTCTTTTTATGTGTGTAAATGAGTCACAGCATACACAGCCAACAGCACAGACAGATAAGCAGCTGGAGTAAGAATAGCAAGCCTGTAATTGTTTTCACACACGGTTCCTTCTGGAGAGGTGCAATCCCACATAAGTGTAAAACTCGTCAAAGCAGACTGTACCCCAATTACAAGTATAAGATCAAATCCCCTCTGTAATTCAGTAATAAGTGTATAAATAATAGGGGAATGTCTCTGGAATTCTGGTTATCTGCACTCCCACATGGCTTTTCTATTCAAACCAGGTCACTCAACCATTAAACAGACTATCAGCGCAAAGACAGGATATACATATAACCATTTGTCACCATATTTATGTAAAGCTTTAAATGTATTTACTCCAGTTATAAGTTTGCTCATTAGTTACTATTCTATTATGGCATAAGTAGCCAATTCAATATACTGTATTTTAAGTTTCACATGTACCATAGGTTATCAAGTTTCCCCTACAGTTATCCTTTCTACCATTCCTGAATATTTACTAATCCTTTCAGTTAATGGCTGATAATGCCAATATATTTAGGTTAATGCTTCAGCTATGCTGCTTTAACTTTCAGACTGATTATATGACAAGATTGATATGTGTTATACAGGTATGAAAATATCATACTTTTCTTACTAAAACAGCCATGAAATATTATAGTATATATGGATATACAAGTCTCATGTTACTTTTTTTACACATGCTTGAGTGTTTTTATTTAACTTTATGAGTAGAAATGCTGTGTTGGAGACAGTATCATTACCCTGTAGTCTATAAGTGATCAGCAATGTCATTACACCAGTACTTAGTGGTGTAATAGGGTGCACCACTAGTAAAGAACAGTCAAATTTGTGCTTTGGCATGCAAGGTGTTATTCTAGTTACTACAAAATCTTATAATTGTTAGAAATATTAACCCATTTGCACCGGCTCCTCCCGGCCCTTTAAGGGTTTCAGAAGCCGGGAGGTGGGGCGGGGGTTAGGGTCATGTGACCACCGTGACACGCAGTCACATGATCGGGAAAGGTCCCGATCGAAGGAGGAGATCGGGACCTTTCCGTGAGTACCAGATATGTGTGCTGGGAGTGCGCAGGGAGCGCACTCTCAGCATGTATGTTCTTTTTTTAATAGAACGCAAATGTGCGGCCCGCTCGGCGTCTAGGCCCAGATGGCCACACATTTGCATTCGGCCGGCGTGAAGAGGTTAAAGTGTATGTTATCCCAGCATTTCATATTCCTGATAGGTGTCTGTTGTACCATGTACGTGTGTTAAAAACGATCCTGTTCTCTTTGCATTGCTTCCTTTGTGTGAAATACCTGGTGATCCTGACAGTCTCCCTGCTCAACTGGAAAACAAGGAACAGAGGGTGCACCAGCCTTGCACATTACCTTTGTGATAGCTTTATTGTATTAAGAAATAGATATATACTCACAAATGACGTCAAGAATACAGGCACATTAGAGTCCACAGTGTACTCAGTTACCTGGTCACCTAGTCAAGTACCCAACACAAGTCGACCCTCCAAAAAGGCTGATGTGTTTCGAGGGGGAATCCCCTCTTCCTCAGAATCCCCCTCAAAATGCGTCAGCCTTTTTGGAGAGTCTTCTCGTGTTGGGACTTGCCTAGGTGACCAGGTCGCTTTAAGCACACTGTGGATTTCTGATGGGTCTGTATTGTTGAAGTCATTTATGGGTATATATCTATTTTTCAATACAATAAAGCTGTCACAAATGTCATGCGCAAGGCTGGTGCGCCCTTTGTTCCTTGTTTTCCAGTATCACTTCTGCTTCTCCCCAGTTCTCAAAGCCTTGTGCCAGTTTTAGAATAGCTGATCCATTTTGTGCCAATGCACTGCTCTTGAGCACAGGAGATTATTCTTCTTTGTCCAGTCTCCCTGCTCTCCTATTTCAAACTGACCATACTAGGCACAAGAGTACATCCATCCCAGCGTTGTCAGTTTTTTGGCTGTACTTGGTGCACAGCCTGCTTGTCCTCCAATGGCCAAGAGTTGTGCTGAGTTGCCCCACTGCACAGTCATTCACTGGGAAGATCAGTGTACTGCTTTTTCCTTGCCTCCTGCTTACACACTCCCCTGCAGTCTCCACTCCCAGCTCTCTAAGCCCTTTATGCAATTAAAAAACACCTTATGCAACTGAAAACAGAAGTCATATATTTTGCCTTGCATTTCGATTTTAAATGGGTTGTTTTACAAGGTAAAGGTTCATATATATTTAAGAATAAATTCCATTTAAAAATAATATTTTTTTTAGAGTGGGGAAGGGATACAGCCCCTGTCATTTTGTTTCTGTGTCTCCAGTAGAAAGATTCACCTTCACTTCTTGTTCTAGTGAAAATTGTCACTGAAACAAGGTGAGGGCAAGGCTAAAATGTTACACCTGTCAACGCAATAGAAGTAGAAAGCAGATTTCCCACTGGGAATACCTTTTCTAGTGTCAAAGGTGGGGAGATTTTCTCTAGGGCTTCTGGGACAGGATGTTAGGGGAATTTACCCGGTACAGATAAAAACCACAAAAAAAAAAAAAAAAACATTGACAGAGATGAACCCTTTCCCACTCTAAACCTAAAACTAGAAAAAAACGCAAGGGAAAATGTTTCTGAGGGAGGTTACAATATTCAAAGAACTCAGCAAAAATTGCCATAATGCTAACACCACAATAAGCTAAATTCACAAAATTAAGGCCCCTTCAACACTGGTGGACACTGTCCTCTAGAGGTGTCTGGATGTAAATGGACTGCCTGTCCGTTTACATCCAACTGTCATCTGATCCAATAGACGGATGGGGAACGGATCCCCATCTGTCTGTGTTTAGCAAATAGGATTGGATTGGATGCAGGCGGGTGTAAACAGACACATGACCGTATACATTCGCTGCTCCACAGAGGGTAATGGATGGTCCTATTGGGTCCGCCTGAAAAATGGACAGATGGACCTGTGAGAAAAAAGCCTAACAGCAGAATAAGAATTTTATTTTTTTTTTAATTCAATTAAATTTGAAAAAAAAAAAGTCACAGTGTTGAAACTAAAGCTCTGTATCAATGTGTGAAAGCTTTGTCAATTGAGCCTTTTGTTTAAAAGCCAGAAGATGAAATCCAGCACCATCAATGGATTTTGTTTTAGTTTTTCGGCACAAACAGGAAAAAAATTACCATTAAACCTGTCTTAGGCTTTGGCTTAGGAACATTGCCAGGCATATGTCATGCCTTTTTACCAAAGATACAGCAGTTCTGAAAACATTTTCTGGTTTAATGACTGAACAATAGAACACTTTCAGAAACTGTGCTTGGGCTTATCTACTAGAGAGAAAACCAATGGTGCCGAGTTAGATGGAAGAAGTGATGGCTCTGATCAGAACAGTCCTTTACATGGCTTTTTTGATCCTGACAAGCAGTTCTGCTTATGTAAGGCCTACTTTAAGGTTCACACTATTGGGGCTCTACAAACCACATTTGCTCAGGTAGCAAAACGTGTTTCATGCAGAAAAAAAGTTCCTGCACCATTTTTAAACCGCAGTGCTTGGGAAATTGCATGGCGCTTTTGAACCATGCGATTCCCTGGCAATTTCCACACACGCAAATATGCTGCATTTTTAGATGTGCACATTTTGGCTGCAGATTGTTGCAGGGTGGGAACAGGTGTGATTCCTGCATCCGCAACCACCCTGACATACTGTGAACCTAGCCTTATAGCACAGATCTGGTTGATCAAAAAAGAAAATAAGTTAAATAAAATGCTAGTCTATAGTGAAGTCTTGCTCAATACACATATACCACCATCAATCATTTTAATAGGATGGTCTTTCCAAAAACTTTTAACTTTCAGGTTGGAATGGATGTAGAGTAAGTTGAATCAGCTTTTGGCATGTTCTTCTCTGGGACTTATGTAGCGAATTTCTGCACCTGCTTTCCTAAGTATGTCCACCTGCTGTGACTGAGACTCATACTCCAGGTTCAATTGGTATTGTTTACAGAATAGAAAATACAGCCGGAAAGTGTATGTGATTATGCATTGTTCAGAGCCAAGATCACTAGAATTGTTTTCACTGGACTTCTAAAATGTCTGAGTTGGTGATTCAACCTACCAGGATCTATCTCTGACATAGTACTGGTGTGATTGGGCTATGTAACTCATTATGGGAAACACAAAGATTATCAAGCATCAGAAACATGTATCAAAATATGAAGTAAATAATTACAATAAATGCATGACGACAGGCATGTTACAAACTAAACATAGCATACATCTTTATATGTCCAAAAGCCAATGATAAAAGAAAAGTACGGCTCAGCCAAAGTCTTGGAAGCAAAGATCAGCCAAAAGGAAGATAGCACATCTGAGCAGATACACATTATACAATCTTGGTGCCCCTTGTAGAACCAAAATGTATTACTTGTAACACGTATAGCAAATTAGACTTGCTCAAATGAGCACTTGACAAAATGATTTTGCAAGAGAGGAAAGTAATTAGGCTTTAAGTGCTCTCCTAATTTGTTGTTTTTCATGCGAATATCAAAAGTACTTTGGGATAGAATTTCAAGAGCTTTGATTTTTACAAATTACAATCTGCAAGGGTAGAATTACAGAAAATAAGCTAGGAATGTTGCAGCATAGAGTGCATGTCATTAAGGACATCTGTAACCCCCTCTACATGGAGACCCCAATTTGTACATTGGTGAAATTTTTTTCATCCAGGAAACTACATATGACAGTATAACTGTTTTCCAATTGTTCTTGGGTCCTTGAGTTGTAATCTTTGGTGAATACCTGATAGCTAGTTTAGACTATACGCTCTACAGAGCAGAGACCTGAAAACAACTGACTAGTATAAATCGTCCTGTGAGCTACAGTTATAGTTTTAATTAGCAATACATAGAGTAAGAGTTGTCTATTTACAAATATTTTATTAGGTGGTCCACTAAGAATAAGTGGTAACCGGTTTTCCCAAGTTGAATTAATACTGTCATTAGGCCCACTAATGACTTCATCTCAGCAGATCAATGGATGAAACACACAAGAAAAGGAACAACTTGACCTGTCACATAGATGATTTCCAACATTCAGACACCAGTACACTTCATGTTTGGAAGACCGTACTTAATTAGCCCTTACAGTACCATTACACTTGCATTTACAACTGGGTTTGGATCAACAATACAGTTACTGACGTATTATGGCCAGCGTAATTATAAGGATGACTTAAAGCATCACATTTTACACATTTGGCCATATGCATGCTTAATGTGTGCTGGTGTTTGACCGAATAAATGGCTGAACTACTGATTGATTTTGATTGGTTTAATTAACTGCTTGTCAGCCACTGTACCTTTGTTCCTAGAAGTGACAATTAAAGGCATTCATTGCAACTCAACAAACAGTTGGTAGTAACTGCTATCTGTTTTTGAAGCAGCTTATCTCTTCTACTATATAAAATGTGATATTTGACCCTCTGCCTTTAGGAACTTTTTCTGGGATGTAACCTTAACTTTTTTCCTTGCTAAATATGTAAAAATCAACTGATTAGTTTAGCCCTAATGAGACAAATATACTGATTCTCCAAAAGTAAGTGTACAGATATGACTAAATATGAATCAATATCTTCTTTTTGGATCTATTCTGGTTTTGACCTTGGTCCGAAGTGGTCTACCTATATTGTCACCTTCAGCTTCCATCCTTAGCCCCTTGTACCCAACCATAATTTTTTTTGCCTGAACCACTAGGGGTCTCCAACTCCCCAGTCCTTTGATCATCACATTAGAAATTGTCAGTGAAAAACATCTGTTTGTTGTCTATTTAGGAAACGGTCAATTGCAGTAATAGTAGTTTTAACTGTATATAGATTACAAAGAAGGTTTTTTGTTTTATAATTAAGAAAACTAATTTTCTTTTTGCTTTAAAGCCTCTTAAAGGAACTATGAAATTGTGGCTGTATGGTTCTACAAAAGCATGCACCTTCATGTGTCTGGGACGAAGGCCTATGACAGCATACCAGGCAGATGTTACAGTACTCGGGTTTTTACACATGCACAGCCTTGTTACTGCAGAATCCTATGATTACATGGAATGTACGTCACATTGGAGGCAGGAGATTATGCACACAGAGCGATGAAAAACATGACATTGTCTCTGCACATTCCGCAGGCCAGGTTGCAGCTGGGATTAGTGATGTTATGAAAAGAGCTTCTCTTCATTCTCTCATTCTTGCAGACGCTTATATATTTCCATAGGCAAACTAATGGCAGAATAAAGAAACTTCCATACCCTTTTATCAGAGGCTTTATAAAACTTGTCCATTCTCTCTAAATCTGCCTCTAACTCAGACTCGTACTGATAGAGGTCTTTCTCTAGCTCAGTCTAGTTAAAGAAGAACAAGACAATTAAGGACACGTCACAGAACTCTCAGAGGATAATATATGAGGCACACGAAAACAATATACAATATAGCAAATTTCATAACAAACAAAAATAAGATGATATTCAATCAAACATTTGACATTGTTCAATACAGACATGGCTTTTCATAAATTGCTCAGTCTTCACAACGTGACAGATATTAATGTTTTTTGTGATATTTGGGTGGTATATGGGCTTTCCAGATAGTACTTGTTATTGTACCTTATGGAAGATCCCTGACATATACTGTTCCCTTTTATCTTTTTGAAAAAAACGTTCACATACAAAATGAATTTGCCAATTGGACAAGTCAGAGAAAACATTGAATGTCTCCATGGAAAAGATATCTCACCACTGTTGGCTCTTGGTAAGACATTTGCCTGTCTCTAGATAGCAGTTTAGTTCTTTACTGCTGGTATTTTGCTGTATTTCAGAGTGGAATTAGCACACTCTTTTGAAGTCGAACTAGAGCTGTCCTCATTTTTATGTACCTTAACTATCAACTGCTTATTTTCAGATGTTGCATAAACAAGGAGCAATGAACAGAATAACTATGATAAGACTGATTTCATGTAACAATGAAGTGCAAAGAGCAATAATATTCAGAAACCCATCAACTTGAGTCAGAAATCTAGGAGGTATAATAATCAGCGCAGAAGTAGGTCCTCATCTAAGTTATCCATAATATCAAAAAGGTAGCTCATCATGCAGAACATCCAAAGATTTACTTCTTACTGGCTGGCACATGAAGATGTCTGCCAGACTACTTAGCTTCTAACAGCAAAACTATTTAGGGATGCTCTGACAACACCACTGGCTTAAAAAAATAGTGATTGGATGAAACAATCCATCAGGGCTAACCTCTTTTTCATCACAAGATCAGGTGGTGTTGCTGTGTTCAGATGGTGTCCACATACATGGGGACTGTCAACTGGCCTACCTGAAGATCATGTTTAAGTCCTGGTTCACACTGAACTCCAAATTGCGCTACTTCACTTAAAGGTAGTGTAATTTCAAAGCCACTGGTCACTGCAATTTCAGGTGCGACTTGCCTGATATCTATGTGACATAATGCACAGATGTCTATGCAAGTCACACCTTAAATCATCAAAAATAGTGCAGCAACTACTTACAATAGGGTCCAACTTGTCATGCGGTTTGGAACGGGCCAATCACTAGTCAAGTTACACCAATATGAAACAGGGATAATCTACCTTCAGAGATTTAAAAAAAAAAAAAAAAAAAAAGCCAGATTGCGCAGCACACCACTGGAAAGCAAGTTAATTCACCTAGCTTTTTGAGTGTTGGAAATACCAGAATTATATCTTTATACCTGAAGTTCGCAGAAAAAAATGGATTTCAAGATTCAGCACCCATGCCTATTAAGATCTGTATTCAACAAACTGTGTGAGCAATCAAGATGTGGTTATCATCAGTCAATTAAGGAAAGTATACCAATTCAGTGTACTGGGTGAACTGTTCTAAAACAATGGTGGGTCTCAGTGCTACAGGTGGCAGATAGAGGTCTTAATACCCATAATTCTAAAGGAGACATCTGTCTGTTTAGGGTTAGCCAGTGGAAAATGTGAAGATGATTATGGTAAAATATACATAATCAGTGCTTTTTTCACTATCACTATTCACTGCCCTCGTGTCCTATATTGGCAGTCATGTTATTATAAAGGTAACACCTAAGCTATTGTGAGTGCAATTATGAAATTAATTGGGAAGGTCCTTTACTGATAACAGCTTGATGGACTGTGCCCCCCAGGGGACAACACCCCATTGATATATTTCTCATACTTTAGAAACATTTCATTATAAACTGATGCACAGAGAAACTGCTATCTCCTTAGGAAGGAAACAAAGTGATAATGAGCATATATGCCGGAATGAGTAGCATTAATATTTACACTTTAGGTGGTATTGTGTTACCACACATTTAGCCCTACATGTAATAAATGGAATTATGTTAAAATATATACTAATGAACACTACCAAATGTCTAAAATCAGGACAAAGGGAGTGTATACAGACAGATGACATTAGGGCAGACATCCACGTACAAATACGATACAAAAATTCAACACTCAACAGCACAAAGCACTAAAACTAAGTCTTAATAATACAATGACTCAACGAAAACTAAATGTGTGTTTGTGTGCGTTTGTGAATATGCATTAAAAAAATTACACAAAATTGATTAAAGAGAGATGAAAGTGAAACTATACCCACAATTTTTTTTTAAACTTTGGATAGAATGGTAAAAAGGTTTGAACGCCCGTCCCCAGTCATTTTACTGCTATCTGGAGTTCCTTTACACCATCCACTATATAGCCTGACTGTATAATATCTTTAAAGTCGAACTTCACTCTTTAAATTTTTTCAGTAATTTTCTGGTTTCCAGACCCAGGAAAATTATGTCATACTGTACATCTCACGTGTCTTCATGGGGGGGGGGGGGGGTTGAGGTTTTCTCAGCAAAACACATCCTCCAGAATGCATACATGAACAGATGGATTCCAAGTACATGTTACATGAATCATCTGCCCTTACTCAGGATGGCCACAGCCAAAAAGGGTGCTAGGGGTGTTTTTCAAAGTGATCTCTCAGCAAAATAAAGCATGGAGACGTTGATGGATATAGGAGTTTGCTTTGTATATTAAAAATGAATTAAGTAGCATTTCTGATTTGTGGTGCTCAGGTGCAGTGTAGTTCCACTTCAAGATCTACAATCAACTATGTAGTGCCTGCCTCATTTGATAATGGATTGATTACATTTGTCCTCATATTGCAGAGTTTTGATAAATCTAAAGGAGATAGTGATTAGTGAGATTTACCCTCACTTTCAGTAAAACCTGATGGTGGTCTTATTCCTTCCCCACTCCATTAAAAAAAACAAAACAAAGTTTTGGCTATATATATATATATACTACTTTAACCACTTGCCAACTGCTCTACGTGGCTACAGCACAGTTGTCCTGTTTTAGGAGGGCGTTACATGACGTCCACCCCAGAACGCACCCTTCTGTGCGTCCCCAGTGGCGTGCACCCGGAGATCTCCATGACTGCTGTGTCCTACGGACACAGCTGATCACATGATGTGGTAAAAGGCCTATCACAGCAGCCTTTTACCACGTGATCAGCTGTGTCCACTGACACAGATCACCGGATAAATGCAGAACAGATCGGCACTGATCATCAGGGTACTGATGATCAGTGCCCTGATCAGTGCCACCCACCAGTGCCTAGCAATGCCACCCACAAGTGCCAAGCAGTGCCTCCCACCTGTGCCCATCAGTGCTGCCCAGAGTGCCACCTGTCAATGCCCAGCTGTGCCGCCAGTCAGAGCCCATCATTGCTGCATATCAGTGCATCATCAGTGCCGCCTATCCATGCCACCTCATTAGGGCCGCCCATCAGTGCCCATCAGTGCCGCCTATCAGTGCCCATCAGTGCTGCCGAACAGCACAGCCTCATCAATGCACATCAGTGAAAAAGAAAAATTACCTGTTTGCAAAATTTTATAATAGAAACAAAGAAAAACTTTTTTTTTTCAAATGTTTAGCCATTTTTTTAGTTTATAGCACAAAACATTAAACACCCAGTGGCGATTAAATTCCACCAAAAGAAAGCTCTATTTGTGGGAAAAAAAAGCTAAAAATTTCAGATGGGTACAATGTTGCATGACTGCGCAATTGTCATTCAAAGTGCGACAGCGCTGAAAGCTGAAAATTGGCCTGGGCAGGAAGGGGGTATAAGTCCCGGTAGGCAAGTGGTTAAAGGAAGCATGTCATAAGAGAAATATGAAGGATGTTATTGCTGGATGCCTTGTAAAAATGCAAATTGTCTGGCTGTTTTGTTAATACTGATCAATACTTTCTGATGTCCCATGAAAATAATAGAGCAAGTGAAGTCATTGGGTTGGTTTACTAAAGGCAAACAGGCTGTTCACTTTGCAAGGAAATTTTCCCCAGAGCTTTGTGAATGTGATGAAGCTCTGCTGACTTCCATCATCCAACCATGTGAAAGCAAAATAATGTTTTTTGAGCGCGATTGGGTATCCTAAACAAATTGAATTTTCACACTAAGTACTGGGGACAATTAATCTGCAAACTGAAAATTTCCTTTGAAAAGTGAACAGTCTATTTGTCTTTAGTAATTCAACCGCATAACTCCTTATGTACATACTTTTGGGTCTGTAGCTCAGAAGTATTGACACCACATAGTCACCATGACAGCCAGAGTATAGGCATTTTCCAAGAAAGCAAGGACACCTCACATATTTCTTTAAGTTTCCTTTAATGAGTACTTTATTTATATCAAATGAAGGAGAAAAGATACCCTAGATCCTTTAATTTTACCTTCAATGTAAATCATTTTGGTGATGAAGGCTAAAACAAAATTGATATTTAACTAGTGCTTCAGTAATACCACCAACAGCCTGAAATATGAACATGCCAACAGTCATAAGTGTTAAATACCATTTGCGATGAGTGAGCATTACCATGCACATTTAGTATGGTTTTATCAGAACTAGGCAAAGTTGGCCAATGCCATGAGACCTGTACAGTATCTATTCAAATCTAACAATTTATACTTGCACTAAAGCATTTAAGACAAATCTCATGTCAGATATGCCAAACCTAGACCCTGACCTAGACATGGCTACTTGGACTAAATTATGTTTATCTTGCTAAGCCATGCCACTTTCTAGATCCAAACATTTGGGCTGATATGCCAACATACATCTATTATACCCACTAATGTTTGTGCATATGAATAGGATTTGTAGATATAAAGTATAATTTCTTACAGTAATACAGATGCATCCCCCTAAATTATTGTTTAGTCTTAAGAGTCCCTTGAGCTATTGATTTATTGATCTGTTTGCCTTTAAGTGCATATAGTAAATTGACTTTTGATTTTTCTGCTTGCTTGTACCAACCATGGCACATTTATGACTACAGCAGACTTTGCGCTACTACCGGCCACCAGGTTAGGCACTGTGCACTGGTCAACAGAATGTACTTTGCACTGTTTACTGGTGGTTAATGTTTTTCAAAAAACAAGTCATGTGTAAAACACTGCATCTGTCTGCATTTCTTCTTCAACTACATTGACCACATGTTCAAATTTAGTTTTATTTAGATATATAATTTTGTTTAAGAAACATAACTCAATTTTGAAGGCCTAATAGATTTTTTTTTTATATAGCAAGGTTATTATTTGTTTTACTGCACAGGTTTCTTCCAGCACAGGTTTCTTCCAGCACTGTGTTTCTTGGTGGATTTCATCCCTTATCTTCATTTGTATGCTTGTGGATTACATTAATGGATACTGGTGTCACAAACTATGCAAACAGCCAGATGAGCCTGATGGCAAAAGCTCAGCAATACACAGAGAACATCAAGCTACTACCTAGCATACTAGGAACCTGTCATTTGAGACATATGTGAGCTACCATTGATAACCTCCTTCTAGATATCCTAGCTGCATGGCTATCAAGCTGGTTATCTTGCTTTAGAGGATAAGTTCACCTTTGGAACATGTTACACCCGTTTTTAGGGTCGAACATGTAACATGTTCCCATAGCTGCAGCCGTGCCCGCTGCCGCCCCCTCCCTCTGACAGATAGAATAGGGAAACATCTCTCCATAGTATCTGACAGATTTGAAAACAGCGCGGACGTGCGGGACGCCCCCCACACAGCCGCGTCACTCATTCACAGAGTTCTGTGAATGAGTGCCTACAAATCCCAGCAGCCTTAGCGGCTGTGGGCTTGTAGTTTTCAGTGAACCAGGTTGCTGTGGAGCACCGTGGTAGTTCATTGAAGCTTCCTGTCAGTATAGCTGCTTGACATCCCATATGGCAAGCAGATATTCTGACAGGTCTGCTGGAGACCTGCATGGCATCAGCGATCTACTGATCGCTGGTGCAATGCTTTCCAGGCTCCTTTGGACAAAAATAATAAATACACAATTTTTTACCTTGAAAAAAATTTGCATTTTTTTTATTTTTGTCCAAAAGGTGAACTTATCCTTTAAAGCATTTGGAATCACTTAGCTGGAACAAGACTTCACTTGCTGCATGCTTGTTCTAAGTTAGAGACTCAAAGTAATAAAACCAGAAGCAACAGCAATCTGTGTCTCTCTCGTATTACAGCTTTTCTTGAAAAGTCCACCTGTCACATAAATAAAACCAATAAAAAATAAGCGGTTTATAAAAGTCAGCAGCAGTCCATATTGCTATTAGCTTGATATTCATCCACTTTGTGCCTGAGGAGCTCCTTGAATATGGAGACAAATTTATGTTTTTAATACCATTGAAGCTTGGACATGTCTACAATATATCAAGACGAAATGTCATTAAGACAGGCCTTTCTGTTACCCAGTAATTGGAGGCTAGCTACTGGGTGCAGCACGGCAGAATGCCAACCTAAGAGAGTTATGTACAGGCATCCATTATTATACAAAAAATTATAAGATAGGAGGCACATGCTCAACATAATAATAAACAGAAGAACAGATCTGTGTCAGAAGAAGGTCCAGTAAGGTGCATTTCCCCACACCATAAGAAAAATTAAAGTCTTATAAGAGAATGCTGGATAGTGCCTATTTTCCACACTGATCTTCTTCACCACTGGTGTTAAGTAACTGAATTCCACACTCACCAGAAAGTTTTGACCCCCGGTTAGAATGGTCAAACAGCGTTAAATTCTCCAAGCCTATCCTCTCATGGGGTAGCTCTCCAGACTTTCCTTCAATCAACAATATCTAGCAAACGGGCTCAATAAAACAGCGGATATCCATAAAAAAACATCTAAGTGTAGTATTTATTAAGATCCTTGGTACCAAACAAAATGTATTAAAATGTCACTCACATGACCAGGTGGCTAAAATCCTGACACGTTAATACATCCTAGATAGATTAATGGAGATGTCACCGCATCTCCTAGACTAGTCGGCGTGTGCTCCAACCTTGATCTGGCGGACCTGAAGTCATAAGGACCCAGAAGTGATGGTTCACGCTTCCTTGTGTGTGGAAAATAGGCACTATCCAGTATCCTCTTATAAAACTTTCATTTGCTTTTATAGTGTTGGGAAATGCACCTTACTGGCTTTCTTCTGACACTTTCTTTATTATTATGTTAAGCAAGCGCCTCCTATCTTACAAACTTTTGTATTAGATTTGTGGGTATACACTTATTAGGGGCAGCTGCTATTATGTAAATTGGAAATAGTTGGTCAGCATAGTCACTATGATTACTTTATGTTTTGTTATTAGGAGGCGCCACAGTATTGATTATTTGTTATATTTCAATCCATTACTATACGTAGGACCATATTTTTAGGTCTAAAACACCTGGGTCATTTGAAAATAAAAGTTATTTATAAATGAATGGTAACTATGAAATTACATATTTAGGATGTTTCACAGTTCAAGCAGCACTTCAGCTAAAATAACAAAATAAGCCCTAGTTAATAAGAATAACGGGAAATTATATAAACTTAAAAATCAGCAACAAAATAGATTACCGGTTTTGTTTCTGGATGCACAGTTGGCAAAAAACATGTGATTTTTATGTGTTGTAAAGACTACACTACTGTAGCCAAAGGCAGGTGGTGTGATCTGTGCAAAACCAACCAATTCCAAACCTATCCGTTTAAAAAATTAAAACTGTGTAGTGCTGGAGCTTTATACTTCAATTTAGGGACTCCTGGAGCTCAAATTGAGTAGAGAGAACCTGATATTGTATGGATTTTTTCATGACTTCATTCTCCTTTTATTAACAGAATTTGAAAAATGTAATTTGCATACTTGGCTATCACACATTTTTTAAAATAACCACGACTCTGGCTTATTCTGCAGCCTAGGTATGACTGTAGAACTTGATGTCATGAATAATGTGACAGGTACCAGAAGGGCTGGGTTGGAAGATTGTGTGTAGGATTTGAAGACTTCACAGAGCCTCTACCTACTCAGTATTCAAAAACATGTCAGTACTTTTATTTTTGTAATACAACGTTCTTTGTAACTTTTATTTTTGCTTTTGAAAAAAAAATTGGTTAATAAAAATTACTTGATTTAAAAAAACAAACATGTTATTTGTACTCTAGTACAATGGCAGTTAGAAATTAACAATATTACTCCACACAAAGCTTGGAAAATCTTTTGATGTACATAAACCGGTGCCAGAGAGGTACAAGAAGGGCTGGGATGGAATATTGTGTGCGGAATTTTAAGAGTTCACAAAACCTCTACCCACTCAGTATTCAAAAGACACTTTATCTGTACTCTTGTACAATGGCACTTGGAGATTAACAATACAACTCCACCAAGCTTGGCAAATCTTTTAACCCAGAGTGGTGTTTTTAGCCTGTCATAGTAGACTATTCCCAGTGTGGGCTAGTTTTATATGCATCTCTCAGACTCCAGAGTAACCACTGTATGACAAGGCCAGGAGAGTTGTGCACTTTGCTTTAAATGCAAGTTACACTGAATAGCTCAGAAGCTGTACTAGAAGCACACTCAAATGTAAGCATAAACGCACAAACACACGTTAGATGCTACAGCAGTCTTTATCAGCGAGAATTAAGAGAACGTTATTACCTTCCTATCCTCTACTTTGAGGATAGAGCAATCCCCCGGAGTATAATCCCATATCTTTTTTGGAGGCTGATGAAAAGCAGAAGAGGAAATAAGGAAATGAAAAAAAGAGAGAGAAACGGAGAAAAGATATCACAAGGAGAATGAATTTGGAGAGAACACACAAGTAAAGGATTTGCATCTTCATTAGGAGGAAAAGAATAAAAAAAGGGCAAACAAGCAAAAGCATGTCCCATACCATAGTGGGAAGCATGAAGCAGGCATGCAAAGAATTGTAAGGAATTACAGTTTAGATTAGTCCAAAAATGGTTCAGAGATTTGGAGTTTAGATCTAAAGGAAGCTCTAACATGACCAGGCAGGCTTCTACATGAATACAGGTTGGTCACCTGTATTCTAGAAGGCATTTTGTGACCTTTTAGGGTCACCTGGAAAACAGCACTTTAACTCCATTACATCAACTAAAATAGGACAGAAGCTTAGAAAATATTGGTCTTTGCAGGAAAAGGCAGATAGAGCTTTCATTTACTTTGCTTTAAGGCCAAAAGTACATACCACATTTACAAATGGCTGAAATTCCATGATGGCATTGCAGGACAATGAGATAAAGTTTCAGCCAAGGAATACATAGAATATCTCTATTCACAACAAAATCAGCTAATGACCTCTGACAAAAGTACTTTGATATATCATCCAGAATATGGCACATGCTTTCACACAACAAACTTGTTTAAAAGATTGTAACTACGTTTGAGATAGTTATTATATAGCTCAGTTAAATATAGCCTTCATTACCAAGTGAAATGGCTGAGGAATACATGGATCTGTTCAGTAGGAAAAGAAGACTTCATGATCCAGAGTACAGTTTTACTACAAAATAAACTGTTCATACTATTGGCATAAAGTTACACTTGTGAAAAATTAATTGGTGTTCATAGTTATCCTTTTCTAGCATTTCTTCTGACAAGTTATAATTGTATCAGATCATTCTACTAAAATAAATCTTGCTAAACATATGCAGTTTTTGGGGAAAACCATGAGGAACAAATGTATTGGGAAAGGTCTGAATAACATTTCTGATCAGTAATTCTGGTGAAGTGTGCAAGACTTGTAAAGAAACTAAAGCCTGCACATGCTGCACTGGCCCCCTATTAGTCTACAACAATGTATAGCATACAACAATGTATAGCAAGTCATAACTTTTACAGATCCATTCGGTTTGGCAAACTGAGCACAATATATATACTAATGGGTACTGTTTATTCTAGAAATGCTTCTTATTCTAAATCTGGAAGTACTTGTTGTACCTTAACAAGACAGTCCATCCAATAAACTTATTTCACTTTTTGGTAGCTGCTGATAAAGTAACCATTTATGAAATTTCTTGGTTGCTTTGGTGGCAAGATCTGCACTTCACTTACCAGGCCTACATAATAGCTACAAAAATTATGAGATTTCACTCCCTCAGCTACACTTTTGATATATTATCAACAATTAGTAGTAGGAATGGAGACACCTAAAAGAGAGTGGACTGGAAGAAAACAAACTTTACTAATGAAGTCCCTAAGAAACCAACCGTGGCCCACAACCCAACCGTAACTACAATATCACTTTGGGATTAACCGATCTAAAGTGATTAATTTTTTTTTCTTTGGTTACTATTATGTTGGCTACGAGTAGATGCTATCAAGCTGAATCGCCCATTTATATTTTTCCAGCACTCTAGGGGCCAAAACATTTCTTTTTTTGCAACAAGGGAACTTTTCTGTTGCCTCTATAGTTTGCATAACTGCTGCATGTACCTGAAAACAAAGGCCCTGAAATCATAAGGAGATGTAATAGGTTGGTAGATAACCTACCTAATCAGTACTGGTTGATAAAGACAAGGATTTAATTGCAGCTGTAAAAATGTACTAGAAATTTCAGGGTAGAGACCTTTGTAAGTTTTAAAGTTAATTTAAATTAATGTATTTAATAATTTTTAAAATTATTATTTTTGTTGAACTTTTATTAAAAGGCACATTTACATCTTTATGCAGCATAGTAAAACATAGCCTACAAGATTTACAAATTTATATTTATACTTCATTAAAGTAAGCATATGTATGAATATTAATATCTGTGTAAAAGAATAATGTAAAGGGATTGGTAAGGCCAATGGACCATATATAAAATGGAAACAATGGATGAGGAAATTAGGCAGCAGGTATATATTAAAGCATATCTATACAGTGAAGGAAAGAAGTATTCAATCCCCTGCTGATTTTTAATGTTTGCCCACTCACAAAGAAATGATCATTCAAAAAATCGAATGGTAAGTGTATTGTAACACTGAGAGACAGAATAGCAACTAAAAATTCAAAAGAAATGCATGTCTAATAAATTATGCACTGATTTGCATGTTCATGAGGGAAAAAAAGTATTTGATCCCCGATCATTCAGCTGGGTTTCTGGCTACCAGGTGTCTTTCATACAGGTAACAAGCTGAGATTAGAAGCAGTCTCTTAAAGGGAGTACTGATAATCAAATTTTGTTAGCTGTATATTATTATTATTATACAGTATTTATATAGCGCCAAAAGGTTTGCTCAGCGCTGTACATTATACTGGGGGACAGTACATGAGACAAAACAGTAATAAGACAAAGCACGAGGGGTTCGAGGGCCCTACTCTTTCGAGCTTACAATCTAGGAGGGAGGGGATAGTGGTACAGGAGGAAGTGGCTGTGGGGGATGGAGTAGTAGGAGGAGTGTAGAGTGTAGATCAGCAATTAGGTGAGGGTGGGGTAGGCTTCCCTGAAGAGATGGGTTTTCAGGGTGTGCCTGAAGGTGAGGAGGGAAGGTGACAGTCTGATGGATTGGGGTAGAGAGTTCCAGAGGATGGGGGAAGTCCTGGCGAAGTCCTGCAGTCGGGCGTGGGAGGTGGAGACCAGGGAGCTAGAGAGTAGGAGGTCTTGTGAGGAGCAAAGATTACGGGTAGGGTGGTATTTGGGTATCAGGTCGGTGATGTAGTTTGGGGCAACGTTATGAATGGCTTTGTATGTCAATGTTAGTAGTTTGAATTTAATGCGTTGGGCAATTGGAAGCCAGTGGAAGGATTATACAGTATTTATATAGCGCCAGAAGGTTTGCTCAGCGCTGTACATTATAGTGGGGGACAGAACATGAGACAATACAGTAACATAACAATACACGAGGGGTTCGAGGTGTATAAAAGACACCTGTCCACAGGAGCAATCAAACAATCGGATTCCAAACTCTCCACCATGGCAAAGACCAAAGAGCTGTCCAAGGATGTCAGGGACAAGACTGTAGACCTACACAAGGCTGGACTGGGCTACCAAATGATCAAAATCAGCAGGGGATCAAATACTTATATCCTTCACTGTACATGAGTTAAACTTCTATCTGACCATCTTGCTAACTTAAAACAAAAGGCAAAAACTACCTTGTAATATTTACCTTTCCCACAGAAACCATACCACTGGACTCCCACTGAGGTCGGTCACAGTTTCTGCAGAGCTACCAAATAGCTGCTTTTGCCTGAACTTCCCCTTGGTGCAATTATACCTGAGCATTTTATGACCACCTACTGTGGAAGCCTCTCAAAAGTGTTTTTTTTCCAGAATAGGAAATACACATCTCCTATGATGTATGAGCTTAACACAGGATACATAGGGGAGGTATAATTTTAGTATGGCACACTGCGATTTTAACACAAATTACTTGCTTATTTAAATCCACAACCGATGCAATACAAACCACACACATTAATACTATATGCGTCCTAAGCATTTTACAAAATATAAATAACAAACTCTTTCATATTCAGCATTAAAGAACATAACAGCATAGACTAAAACATAAAACTGGTTGAGTACATGACTATGGAGTAACATAAAGATAGGTATGTTGCCCACACCATTTTTTGAAACCTACAGTGGAAAAATTACTACATTTGATTGGTTGCTACAAACATCCCCTTCCCCAATGTCTTTCTGCAGCGTGGCCTATGAAAAAACAGGCATCTTTCATGATGTTAATTTTTAAAAGAATCATGCTACTAAATTTGCTTTATGCAATAAAGTACCTCATGAAAGATAAAAAAAAAAAGTAAAGTAAAGGCTTTAAAATCCCATTTTGTACATCACCTTTCTTTCCTGCAGAATATTCTAGAGCTGAATGAAATGTTACCATCTGACATGCTAAAGTTTGCTGTTTTTTTGGGGTGCTGCAGTTCCACAGATCAGATAGCAGTTATATATAGCTCTGTATATATACAGTTGCAAGAAAAAGTATGTGAACTTCTTGGAATTAAACTGGCTTTCTGAAGTAATTTGCCATAAAATACGATCTGATCCTCATCTAAAGTCGGCCATAGATGGATCAAAAATTTTGCTGGTTCAGCAGGGACCAGTCAAATTTTGATCCATGTATGGGCAGGCTGGTTGTACAGAAGTCAATCTCTCAATTGACATCTGTATGACCAGCCTGTCGGAAAATTTTTGCTCAGTCAGTGCTGCAAGCTACAGCCAGCAGTGCTGATGAGTATATTCTGATACTGGTTAAGTCTCCCTACTGTCAAAATACAATAGCTCAGCGGGAAGGATCCCCCCATCCACATCGAGTGTGTTGGGAAATTGGTTAATTTTCCACTGGTTGAATGAAAGAAAATGAATCATGTATGGCCAACTTAAGTCACAACAATAGACAAACAGAATGTGCCTAAGCAGAAAACACAACCAATTCTAATTTCTTTTGTCTTTACTGGACACACCCATTAAATATTCACAGTGCTGGGGGAGAAAGTAAGTGAACCCTTGAAGTTAATAGCTCGTTGAATTTTCTTTGGCATCAACAACTTCAAGCAAGCACTTACAGTAGATCTCGATGGCCTGCACAATGTTCAGGAGGAATTTTTGAATATTCCTCTTTACAAAACTACTTCAGCTCAGACATATTTGTAGGAAGTCTGGTATAAGCGCTCTCTTGAGATCATTCACCAGCATTTCTATAGGGTTAAGGTGTGGGCTCTGACTGGGCCACTTCAAAAGGCAAACTTTTTTTTCTGAAGACAGTCTGTGATGGATATATTTTGGTGCTTAGGGTTATTGTCCTGCTGCATCACCCAACTTCTACAAATCTTTAGTTGGCAGACAGCCACCCTGACATTAGTCTGTAGGATATTTTGGTAAACTTGGGAATTCATTTTCCTCTCAATGATGGCAAGTTTTCCAGGCCCTGAGGAAGCAAAGCTAGCCCAAATCATGATGTTCCCTCTACCATACTTCACTGTTAGGATAATGTTTCGATATTTTGATAAGCTGTGCCCTTTTTATGCTATACACTGTGCTGCGTATTCTTCCCTCCTTTTTTTGTCAGTCTACGAAACATTTTCCCCCAGTAGAATTTTGGCAACCTTCAGGTGCGCAGCAATGTTATTTTTTATGTTATTTTTGGAGAGCAACGGCTTCCTCTATGGTGTTCTGCCATGGACATCCTGCCCATTCAAGGACTTACGTATGGTAGACTCATGAACAGGGATGTTTGCCTGTTTCAGTGATGTGTTCAAACCTTTAGCTGTTACTCATGGCCTTTTCTTTACCTCACTGAGGATTTTGCATCGTGCCTTGAGATTTCTTTGTATCCCTTGTGCCTTGAGATTTCTTTGTATCCCTTTCCAGCCTTATGCAGATCAACTACTCTTCATCGTTTGTCTTCGGGTTCTTTTTGCGAGGCATGGTTCACACCAGCTGATGCTTTTTATGAACAGCAAGATTAAAAGGTTTGAGTGTCTTGTCAAAGTAGCTCTAAACAACACCTCCAAACTCATTTCATTAATTGGATTTTAGGTGTACAAACTACTGACTCTAACTAGCTTTCATCTATGGGTTCACTTACTTTTTTCTCCCGCACTGTGAATGTTTAATGGGTGCGTTTAATAAAGACAAAAGAAAAAATAATTGCTTGTGTGTTATTAGCTTAAGCACTATGGGGTTTGTTTACTAAAACTGGAGAGTGCACAATCTGGTGCAGCTCTGCATAGGAACCAATCAGCTTCCAGGTTTTATTGTCAAAGCTTAATTGAACAAGCTGAAGTTAGAAGCTAACTGGCTATCATGCACAGCTGCACCAGTTCTGAGTGTTCCAGTGTTAGTAGATCAACCCCATTGTGTTTATTACTGTATATATATTTAAAATTGAATAAAACACAATGGAAAAATAAACAGAGCTGACTGATTTAAAGAAACGAGCAAACAAGTAATGAATACTGAAAAATGGGGAAAATAAAGGCTAGTAAATGGAATGAAAACAGTGTTGAATAAAGAGGTTCCTTTCTGCAAACCTATAATTTAACATATTCATTTTACTAATAATTATAACAAGAATAATAGTAGTTGATATTTACAAACCTAAAACTATGTAATACTTTTTCTCTGCCATAAAATTAAGAAGCCCCCTGCGCCATTACAACTTCTGTATCCTGATCAGAACGATAAAATGTTGCTTTCTAGTATATATTAAAAGTTAGCATGATGACTTTTTTTTGTATTTCCTATTCAAGATTCCAATAAAAACGGCCATGGTTCTGTTGTTAATATCATCTTATCTGCAGCTATGGCAAAGCACAAAGAAGCTGAAATCTATCCTTACTTACCGGTTTCCCAAATTCCAACTCGGAAAAGAATTTATACCAAGGCTCATTCTTTAAATCTATCTCTTCTGGGCTTTTATCCCGAGTCTACAAAGGTCATGACAGGGGAATGGAAGGAAGAAGGAGAAGAAGATCATGAAAAAGAACACAGAAAAGGGCTGTTAGAGATGCAGATTTTTCAAGTATGCCTTTCCACTGCCAGAACTGGAAACCAAGAGGAGAGATTTATTATCTGTAAAAGTAGATGTGAGGTCACACTTCATCCTGCATCTTTAACAGAACATGGATATGCAAGAAACAGAGCTCACAGCACAATCCGACTTTAGATGAGACACAGACACACAGCATACAGGAGACATATTAGTAAGGCGCTTCAAGTACAATGGATAAAGTGACAGTATAAGCAGTACACGCAAGCTGGAAGTAACATAAAAGAAGTAAGGCAGATTAAAGTAGACTGCTAAAAGTATAAGGTCTCATGCACACTTGGCGTTTGAATTTCTCTTCTGAACCCCTTTTACTCCTAGCAGGAAAAAGCAGGTTAAAGAACACGCTTAAAGCTGCATACTGCATGTGTTTAAGCATGTCAAGCATTTAGGCATTTTTAAGAATTCTATTGGACAGAATATTAATTTATTCTGGCCACTGGAATGAATGAACGTTTAAGTGTTGAACGAGTCTAATGTTTATATGAGTTTATACATTTTCACGCACGCCACTTGTTTTTTTTTTGCCCTTTTCTCCTGAACGTGCAGGTGAGGTTTTTTTAAAGCCTGTAAACACTCCTTTTCTAATGACCCTTTAAATGCCTAGGTGTGCATGGACAAATAGCCTAACACAGAGGTGCAATTACAGGCACAAAAAAATACCACACACTGTATAACCTGAGTTATTTAAGCCATGTGTGAATGAGCCCTAAATGTCAGCTATACAAATTCATTGCCTGCAATCTCTTTCACCAACTATGTATCGGTTAACAGAATATGCAGGCAGTGTTAAAGGGTTACTAGACACAAGAACCCAAAAATGTAATTAGGGTATAAACAAATATCTTAAAACACCACACCACACCACACAAGAATTCGGCCTGAAAACCTAGTTTTAATACTACTTCTCTTTCCTTCACATAGGAACATTATATATCAGAATTTTGCAATGATGTGTAGTAGTGTATATATATTACAACACTGAGAAAGCAATATATGAAAGGCCTTGTGTTCACAATTCATATTGCCATATGGCTTTCCTCAACTTTGCTGAAATGCACAGCACATCTCATGAATATACTTCACTTAAAGTGTTACTAAAGGCATATTTAAAAAAAAATTAAAATAACAAACATGTTATATTCACCTGCTCTGTGCACAGACCGGCCCCAATCTTCCTCTTCTCGGGTCCCCTGCCGGTCATTCTGGCTCTGGCTCCTCTCCTTTTCTTTGCGTGTCCCCATAGCAGGCCGTTGGCTATGGGGACAAAAGCTGCGTGCTCACTGTGGATCTGAGTGTATATGGAGCCGCACTCCATAGACACACACAGAGGGACTTAGGCCCCCCCACTTTCTTTTCACCGCACCTGTTTGACAGCAGCAAGAGCCAATGGCCCCTGCTACTGTTTGAGTCCCTGTGTGAAGAGGAAGAGAGGGGAGAAGAGATGTAAAGCACTGTGCAAACTGTTGGCGGTATATAATAATAATGTAGCTGTGCACAGCACTGATCTCTTCTCCCCTCTCTTCCTCTTCACACAGGGAAGGGGAAGCACAGAGAACTTAAAAACACTTTATATTTTGGTGTAAGCAAGGTTTGGTTTAGTATCACTTTAACATGAAAGATCCTACTTTAGGATGTATTATACTGTACACCTCAATGAATGGATTACTTTGTATACAACTGTAAATCAATGGTGCCATCTACTGTTACCTATGCTTTACTGCACCCCATTAATTCTGATGAATAAAGCATCAATGGAAGCAGTGAAACTGTACAACCTGTCACAAATCATGGAGTATGATGAAAAAAGACATAATTACAGCAATGACAGGCAGTGCATTTTTCACACCTAGCCTCTCAGTAATGTCCTGCCTGAATTATTCCATCGATTTTTAGTTGTAACCTGAAAAATGTACAGGGTAATAACGGGGACATGGAAAAAGCAGGGCCAGGATTACCTATAAATCAGCAAAGTTATTCAAAAGCAATATTAAACCCCAAAGTAAACATCATATAGCAGCTTATCAATCCTTAGATGTGATGGCTGCAATTGTTTTTTTCTTGTAGGCTTTCATTCATTTATTTTCAGCTAGTCAGTAAGTTTGTTGTTTAAAAAAAAAATTTTACCACTAACAGGGGTGCTTACAATGATCATCTTTTATTTATGTATAACCTTCACATGTCCCAGGAGACTACAGAAGCAGGGACACAACGATTTGCTGTGTCCATTTACATCAGGCTACCTCTGATCTGTCACAGTTCAGTCTGGAAAATTAGAAAAGGATGCAGATGTGATTGTACACCTGCTAGATGGCCCTGGTGTCACCAACTCGAAATCTGATTGGTTAAAGCTACACTTTCATTGCCATTTACTAAAAGCTACAGGCATCTGCACTGTTGATTCTGAACACCAAATGGCAGATTTCTTTGACACTGGCAACACATGATGGCTATCATGGCTGAAATATGATTGGATAAAAGCTATAACAGTACTGGAAGCAGTGAAACCAAGAGAAAAGCTATGAAATGAAGAGAATAGACCAGTGGTCTCCAAACTGCGGCCCTTTGCTTGCCCTTATCTGGCCCTAGGGGTGCTATTACATCAATGATGGAGCACCAATTTCCCAAATGACACCATCATTTTCTGCTCTCACTGGCCACAGTCTGGCCCCCTTTAAGCCTGAAGGACAGAAAACTGTCCCTTTACTTAGGAGGTTTGGAGACCCCTGGAATAGACTAGTGGGAATAACACATACATGGAAAAAATACCAGCAGGCATCTGTGGTGTCATATGGTAGAAGGGGGTCCTGCCACAGATTCTCCCTACCTGAAATACTGCTTATTTTTGTTCACTCTCAAATCCAAATTGAGCAGAAAGGGAATGAAGTGTGTGAATATGTACTATTGAGTTGGGTAGCCAATCTAATGTGACCATGCCCTGCCCTAAATGGGCAAAGCAATAGTTTAATTTAAAGCGACACTAAACTCTGGTTTTAAGAAAGAAAATCTTATTCAAGTACTGTATGTACTCTCAATTCAGAAATGTACCTTCTCCTGCTCTTCACCTTCTCCAAATTCCTCTTTTTTGCTGCTCAGATCCGATTTCTTATTAGAGGGTGGCTACATTTGTTCTCCATAGTCCCACTGTATGTAGCAATCTAGTCACCCTCTTTTGCTCGCTCCTAAGATGGACTAGGGACTATGGGATTTGTAGTGTGCATAGAGCAGTGCACATGACTGCAACCAACATGCACTGTTAAGTTTTTTTTATAAAGTAATAAATAAAAAAACTAAGGCTATTAAATACCACTAAAAGAAAAAGCTATCTGTCTCAAAAAAATTCTATAACATTCATTTGGTTACAGTGTTGCATGACCAAATAATTGTCAGTTAAAGGACACAAAATATTTTAAATAATAAACATGTCATACTCACCTGTTCTGTATAGTGGTTTTGCACCGAGGAGCCCTGATCCCCTTCTTCTGCAGTCCTCCGCCGGCGCTTCAGGCTCCTCTCCCTTCTAAGTGCACCTATAGCAAGCAACTTGCTATGGAGGTACTCGTGCAGGCTTGCTACCGAGCTGTGCTCTATGTGTCCATTGGCCCCGCTTCCTGCTCTCTGGTCACTGGCTGTGATTGACAGCAACAGGAGCCAATGGCTCCTGCTGATGCCTCCATGTCCAGTTAGGAGAGAGAGCAGAGAGAGCCCCTGCTCTCGGGCACAGCGCTGGATCAAGATCAAGCCCAGGTAAGTATAAAGGAGGAACTGGGGGGGGAGTTGCACACAAAAAGTTTTTACCTTTATGTGGAGAATGCATTAAGGTAAAAATCCTACTAACTTTAGAACCACTTTAAACTACAATAGCACTGATAATAAAAAATAGCCTGTTGGTAGTGGCCTCAGAGAGACCAATAGGGAGGCTCAGGGACAGAAGGTAAAAGTGCAAAGACCACCTTTTCCAGAAAAATGCAAGTCTCCATATAGTTTCATCTGCCTAGATCTCTGAATCTAATCATTGTACTGAGATGTGGGTATCACTATAGGTTAACATTTGCTTTGGTATGTTTTCCATTTCACACTTCCTTTCACTAGACCAGATTTGTGCCTTAATATTTTTCAGTAGACTGACCGCTATCAAACACAGAATCAATACTATGAAAATGAGAGAGCATGTGTTTAAACATGGCTGTCTCAGTTGTGCCACATATTTCACTGAATACCAGTACCTTGCCTGCTAAAACAATATGACTATGAGATGACAGCATGTGAAATATATATATATATATATATATATATATATATATCCCAGTTCAGGTGCTTTGACACCAACAGTGCATGTTTTTCAGACGTCTAGGCAGTCGCACTGGAAAACTCATTACTAACACTGTAAAAGACACGTTTCACTAGAAAACACACAACTGTTATTAGAAATAGTTTGGAAGACATTGTTCTAGTTAGTTCAGGGTTAAGGATACATAGCACAGGACCTGTGGCAAAGAAATAGTTAACATTTACCAATAAAACTCAGACATACACAGTATTACTGCACATTCTCTGACATAATATAAAAGTAATGTAAAAGTGACTTTAAAATAAAACAAGTAAACTGAACAATGCGAACTGTTATTGCTGACATGCACAAATGCCACATCATAAAAGTGATTAATCCGGATCACGGTAAAAGAAGATGTCTCCTAAAACACAATCAAGTTGCATTTAACATTCAACAGATTTGGAAATACAACACAAAGCTGTCATTTATGTAAATGTTATATGGCACAACAACTATGAAAAACTGTTCAGATGCCACTATTGATCAACCAGGCCTCAAAGCGTTAATTCCTGAGCTGTATCATTGATCAGTTCAAACAATACAAGGCAGGGATTTAAACTGAATGTGTTAACACAGCTGCAATACTTACAGTCTGTTAATCCTTGCCATTGCTCTGCACTGTTTAACTCCTCTAGTCTTTTTTTCAACTCGGTATTAGTAACGGCACTGCATCAACCCACCCCCTGCGCACACAGGTCAAGCAACAACAAACAGATTCAGTGGCTGCCCTTGAGTTACATTACCATCTTCTCATTGACGAGTGCTGAGGATTTCCCAGGCTGGTACTCATGAATGCTCCTTGGCTCCGCACGGTATTTTCTGGTGTCAACCTTCTTGTCTGGGGGATCCCAATCATTCCTGTGGACAAGGAAAGCAATTAAGCGTGAAAGCTCCCGGTTACCCAGGAAACATGTGTTGTGGATGGAAATATTCCGGAGCTGCTAATCCCGCGTCCAGCTATTCACATCTCCAGGCAGGAAATGTACTCGAGATTGGGGGCACTTTTCATCTGCTATAATGTACACGAGTTTTTATGACAATCTCACTGTACATAATAGAACAGAAATAGAATCCAATCATCTGTTTCCTAGAGAACATAATTTATCATTTTTAACCCGCTCTGAACACACAGGCAGATAAGCAGATGTTTCTTGTTGTGTTCCTAGGAAACTTCTCCTTGGTGAAAGGCCAGGACATACAAGGACTGGGAGAGGCCCTATGTAACCCTTTCCAAAGCCTGCCCAGCAGCTAGTACGTCATACTCATTAATTTCTACACAGAAGATAGTTTAAATGTACTAAATGGAACAAGATATTGTAATGCTGTAACAGAAGGATAACACACCCTACATACACCTATATTACATACTAATGAAGCCAGTAGGAAACCTCTCTGGCAGGCTCTGGCAAATTGTAAAAAATTGCTAGCAACACTTGGAGACTTGTACCTAAAGAAGATCATTATGAGAAGAGATGATCTATCCTAGACTCCACTGGCAGGATGACAATATATTAACCTTCCCAGGAGGCTAGAAGGAACTTCATCTGGCTGAAGCCAGCTCTGGCGCAAGCAGTAAAACAGAATTTTGTCATTGAGACTCCAGCAAAGAATTATTATGTGGGATGTCGAGATTTTATGAAGTCTACTGCTGGCAAGACAAGCAGCCAGTTATTAAAAATCCCTGTCATGGTTTTAATTAGAAAAACAAAAATACTTGCTTGATACACAATTTAGGGATGTGAACTTGAAGAAGCAAATAAACTGGGAATGGGAAATAGAGTTCTGCACTGTAACATAAAATGCTTTTCTTCATAATGTACTGACAGTTTGAGTTTTCAGAATGAGGGCCCTAGATAGAAAGCAGCAGTATGATCTAATCATGGTCAAGGTACTGCTTTAAAGTGGTTGTAAATATCTAACATGAAATATGAACAAAGAATATATCTCTATAGTGGGCACTTGTCTCAGAGCACCAAGTGTCATTTGTCTGCTGTTATTCCTCTGCTACCTGCTTGAGTCACTTCTGACAGCTTTCCCTGACACCAAGAGGTAAAAAAGGTGACAGTGGAGGGAGCTCCAACACACACATCCTGTGACTGACAGCCTCAACTATGTTCCTATGAGCTGTGTGTGTGTGTGTGTGTGTGGGGGGGGGGGGGGGGGGGTGTCCCTTCCCTCCAATCAGCTCTCAGCTCCCTCACTGAGCTCTGCAGAGTGTAATTTCAGATCCCTGTCCCCTGATTTCTGAGAGCTCAGACAAGCTGTATAAATTTTGGACTTTGAACAGTTGTAGAGAAACAGAAGACTACAGATAGCCAGGTACAACCTATGTAGGAACTATATGTATCTTACTTTTGGACGATGCCAATGGACATATATACACTATTAAAAAATTAAACGGAAGGGAGGAGCAGCTATCTAATACTTGGAAACCAAGAATAATAAACTGCAAATATATTTAGACAAGCGCTCCTCAGGATGCGTCAGGGCTCCCGGTAAGACCAGAGATGCGTCAACTGACACAGGGAAACACAGGCTCAAGTATGGTGTAACAATATAATTTATTAAGGGTTATACACAAATATAACGCACAATATAACAAAGCCAAACCTCCAACTGATAACGGAATGTACACAGATAAGAGCAGTCAGGGCTGGCGAGGTGGAGTGGTCAGGCGGGCCGGGTCAGGAATCATCAGGCAGACAAGACACAAAGGAGTAGGCAGAGCGTAGTCAAATGGGCCGGGTCAGGAACAATCAGGCAGACAAGGTACCAAAGGAGCAGGCTGGAGAGTGGTCAGGAATCGCCGAGGTCAGGACAGGCGGAGTTGATTCAGGGTCAGGATCAAGCAGAATCAGAAATCAGGCAGGAAGCATACAGGATGCAGGTATCAGGGGCTCATGGGAAACATACACCAAGGCACTGACTGCAGGTCTGGCCATTCCTTAAATACACCTCCTGCAATCAGCCTCAGGTGATGGCTGACTGCAGGAGTGAGCTTCTGGTTGCTGAGAGCACCCGCTGGCCAGCCCTGGTACTGCAGCCCACAAGGCAGGTGAGTCCCACCACCATTGGCAAGTCCATTCCTGACAGGATGCAAGTATATTGCATCCAAAATACCATCTACCATCCACAATCTTAATGTGCCAAAATACTAATATGTGAAAAAATGTAAATTTTATAACAAGTGCAACAATCATATCTTATATCTCACCAAAATATATATCATATCCATAACCGCTAATATATGAGTGACAATGTGTCCATCATGCAATATAACTATGTTTAAATGTCCATGTGCAAAATGTGCAAAATTAAGTGTGCAAAAATAAGTCATTTTTGTTATCTTTATAAATATTTTTGTTGTTTAAAACACCACCACACTGTGTCAAATCCACCACTGAACAAACTGAATGAACTCAGAGCTCCATACTGGTAATGTTAAGAACCAGCTAATAAGCAGTGGCTCTGGGAGCAACGATCTGCAGGAATGCGTGTGCGTGTGTGTGTGTGTGTGTGTGTGTGTGTGTGTGTGTGTGTGTGTGTGTGTGTGTGTGCGTGCGTGCGTGCGTGTGTATCTCACCATATGAAAGGAGAGGAAGTGGACGCTTCATAGCATAAATCCATTAAAATAATTTTATTCCATTAAAAAGCACAAGCCGCACTCACAAATAAAGTGTCATAGCCGACACCAGCAGTAACCACATGTGTGAAACAATCAGATCAACTCTGGGCTCACCAAACACCGGCAGCTCACCCGTATGTAGTGATGTCACCTCCAAGGCCCCGCACTGGGCATGCTTTTGTATTTCAATGGTTTTTATTAATTTTAAAACAGTATAAAACAGAGGCAACAAAACACACCCACGCAGGGGCTATCAATTGCACCAATAAAAAAGGCATAATAGAGCAGACAATGCTCTAATTCCAATAAGGCAAAACGTATGCCCACGCAGGGGCTATCAATGGCACATAGGTTACAATAACATCAATAAGACTCTGACTATCGCAACTAAAGACAGTTGTCCACTGTCACATCAAAACAAACAGAAAAGGAGAGAAGAAGAGCAGAGAAGAACAAAAAACAAAAAAACAAAACAAAAAAAAAAACAAAAGAGCAGGGGTCCACGAGCGCCAATACCAAACTCCATTACCTCCCCACACTGGCCGGGGGGAGCGTGGGAAAGGCGTATTGCAACCACGGCTTCCATACTTTCAAAAATTTATGTTGAGAGTCGTTGCATATACTCAACATCTGTTCGTTGAGCATCATAGTAGTCATACGATCCCGCACCCCCTGGAAAAGTACAAACGGACTCTTCCAGGCCTGAGCAATTGTCCTAGTAGCCGATAAAAACAAATAGGAAGCCAACCGCTGCTGATGAGCCAAGAGGCCCGGTATGGGGCAAAGAAGCAAAGCATACCGAGCATCCCGGCGTATGGAGAGATGGAACAAAGTGAAAAGGAGGCCAAAACACGAGACCAAAAACGAACCAACCTCGGGCATGACCACCAGATATGCAGTACATCGCCACGATGGCCACAACCCCGAAAACATCGATCACTACAGGCAGGGTTAGCCTGGGCCAGACGAGCCGGAACCCAGTACCAACGGAACAATACCTTGTAGGCTGCTTCCAGCGTGGTCGTATTAAATGAACGCTTAGCTATGAGTGACCAGGCCCTACTCCAGTCCTCCGGATCCACAGCCACTCCCCAGGTCGTGTTCCCACTGAACAACATATGAAAGAGAAGTGTGAGACGAGCATCTGTTCAAAGCTGTGTAAAGAAGGGAGATAAGGCCCGTGGCGCCCGGGTGCTGCTGGCAAAGCCGTTCAAAGGCAGATTTCTGATATGGGAAAGCAGAAGTGGCCCTCAGTGAAAGTAGCCAGTGCCGCAATTGAAGGTACCGAAAAAATTCCGCTGGGGGAACATCCCGAGACTCCCGAAGGACATTCCAGGCGGGAAAGGACCGAAAAGTCAAAAAGTGTTGCACCTGTGAGAAACCATGAGCTACCCACCAAGAAAATGCCCTCGGGCAATCTAGACCCGGTGGGAAAAGAGGGTTGTTAACGATTGGAAGCAAGGGCAAAAAAGGGTGACATCAGGCCACTGGAGTAACGTACCGAGTCCCAGACTTGTAGGCCATGGAGCAACATCGGACTCAGCGCCATAGGGCGCAGGGCAGGGGGAAGCCATAGGAGTGTCGACAGTGCGATAGGGGCACAATTAGGCAGTTCCAGCAGGACCCAGAGAGGAACATCTGAGGAAGCGTGCAACATAGACAGCGGGGCAATCTGGCTCGCCTGAATACTTAGACTCCAGGGTGGCCTTGGGGTACCCAATGTAGCTATGAGCAAAGAGCGTATTTCTAGAGACTCTGGGGTGTTTATCGGCCCAGATAAAACGCATAAACTTCGCCTGAAGCAACCGAAGGAAGTGAGGGGGAACCTGCACCGGGAGGGTGCGAAAATAATATAGCAATTTCGGCAAGATGGTCATTTTCACTGAATGAAACCCGTCCTATCCAAGACAGGTGCGGAAATTGCCAGGAATGCATAAGAGAAGATAAAGAGCTAAGCAAAGGATAATAATTTACAGCAAAAAGGGAGTCATAGGTGGGGGTCAAGCGAATGCCCAAGTATTCCAGAAAAGAGAGAAGCCCACCGTAAGGGAAGTGGGATTGTAGGCGCGAAACCAAATCTGAAGCCAAAGTAATATTGAGAGCGACGGTTTTACCCAAGTTGATACGTAGACCTGAAATCAAGGAGAAGCGCTCAAGAACTCGTTGCAAGTTAGGAAGCGTCGTCAGAGGATTAGTAAGGGTCAAGAGGGCATCGTCCGCAAAGAGGCTCAGC